AACGTGCAAGCCACGGAAACTGTGGTGTAGACATTGCTTGGAGAATAGTTGCTTTTTGACATGGCATCTTGCACTTTAGGAGACTAAGACCGTCCTGTTTTGTCTATGTGTGGTGTGACCAATGGTGTGCCCAGAGCACTGCTCTAAAAATCACTAGTGTTAGCAAGTCGTCCAGGCTGTGGAGCGCTCGCTGTAGTCTTTGGAAGCTTTGGCTCTAGATCACCAAGCCCAGTCTCCTTACTGTCAGTGCCCTGCTCTCCTGTTTGCCTCTTCCTGTTTCTGTGTGAACTTCCAGGTAAAATCACTCATTAAATAGTTTTCTTTTAAATTTATTTAAAGAAAAACTATTTAAAAGTAAAGGATATTTTGTTTTGTTGACAGTGGTGGCTTGATAATCCTTAAGCAACTGAAATTAAAATTGTTGAAGGAAAAGGCACTTAAAGTGGTTACTCTTTCTGTCCAGCTGTATATAAGTCCAATGTGTTAATTAATCTAGATGATGCAAAGAAGAATCTCCTGGTAGAGAAGCGACATGTACAAAATCGATGAAAAAGGTTTTGGGTTTTTGTTTTTTGTTTTGTTTTCCGTAGGGTGGGGGGAGGGCAAGCTGGATTTACAAGTCACAACTGGACTGAACTGGCCTTTTTATCTTTCCACTATATCATGTAAGTAGCTGCTTTCTTGTCCTGCCTATCCTTCAGGCATCCGTAAAGCTCACTCTGAAGATGATAGAAACAAACACAAAATCTTCGGGTTAGATGTTGATCCCGACACTGACATGAAGGCAAGCATTGATTTCATATGAATGTTGCAGAGGTGGTGGTGATTGGAGAAAACAGTAAGAGTTAACAAGTTATTGACACAATTTAAAAAAAAATCAGTAAAGGAATGTATATAATATTGCTCTTGTGTTTTACAGTAAGATTTGTTGCTCTCAGACTGTGTAAAACAAAATTTATTCATGTTTTCTGCATATTAAAAAATCCTATTGTACCAATTGGTAAACTATTAAATGCCTATAAAACTAGATGTGATTTTGTGTGTGTGTGTGTGTGCGTGTGTGTCCTTGTGCAGAGATTTAAAACCGAGTCCTAATAGGAGATGGGACTGTGTTCAACACCAGCCATAGAGTAAGCTGCAGATTGGTGGCAGGGCCTTGATGGAGGGCTTTTCTCGAGGGCCGTGCTGGCACTGCCTTCACTGTCCCCTTCCTTCGCCTTATTAGGAGGTCAGGCTCCAGGAGCGGTGGCTGCAGGGGCCATTGGCGATGGTGGTAGGTGGGCTTGCACCACCCCCGCCTCCAGCAGCCTTTTCCAACAGTGACTCATCGGCCCAAGCACTGGAGAGCTGAGGCCAGGAATGACCTATTGTAAACACTCCCCCCCCCACACACACCCCAACAAAGACTTGGCCCTCTTGTGGTCGTCAGGGTCCAGACAGAAGGATCGTGCTCCCCTTTTGTTCTATTAATGAATGAGCCTCTTGTTTTGTCCGGTGGTCTTGGATTCTTGAAGATTCTTAATACTGTTTTAAATTTTGGTTGAAAAGTACCAAAATCGCCTTCACTCTTGGCCCAGAAGCCCCATGGCTTTCCCTCTGCTTTACACGTGTTGGCTATGTCCTGCCTCCCATGCCTACTACTGCCCAGCTGGGGCCTGTGGTGTCCAGGGCAGCCAGGAAGTCTCCAGCCTTTCTGATGTATAAAGGACAAGTTGGATGATGCGGTGTCTCTACTTACAGCCCAGTTGTTTTCCTGCCTCCCCATCCCAAAATGGGAATCCTCAAGAGCACCAAAGTAATTTACTTGAAATTCGAGTCTCCTGAGTTTTGCAGCTTTTCCATTTCCCTGCAGGGCTCCTCTTTTCCCCTAGCTTGAGATGCCGATGATGAGTCTGACCACTTTCCCTGGGGTAGAGAGTTCCAGCTTTGGTATATCGCCATCCTGAAATGCAGTTACTCAAAACTCACCCACTGGTGTATCACTTCAAGCTTCTTTCCAACGCTCATTGGGTATGTCCCTGACATAGGATGAGGGATAGGAAAGTGGAAGAATTGGTGGGGAAATGGTACAGCATCCTAAATGTGGCAGCTCTGTCCCTGTTTGGGCTTTGGTGAAACTTGACTTGCATGCAGTTTTTGGATGCTGAGAGACCTACGAGAATTCTCACGATGTTCCCCAGCAGGCCAGCGGCAGCAGCACTTGGGAACTCATTAGAAATGCAAGCTCTTGAGCTCCAGCTCAGACCTACTGTATCTGAAACCTCTATATGAAAAACCAATTTTAACAAGCCATCCAGATGATTCTGATGTAGGCTCAAGCTTGAAAACCACTGATTCTGATTAATTAACTAGCTTCTCATTGATTAGAATCAGTGGTTGATCTCGGGGTTGTGAGTTCGAGCCCGTTGGGTGTAGCTTTTTTTTTTTTTTTTTTAATTTTATTATGTTAGTCACCATACAATGTATCATTAGTTTTGATGTAGTGTTCCACGATCCATTGTTTTCGTATAACACCTAGTGCTCCATGCAATACGTACCCTTAATATCCATCACCGGGCTAAACAATCCCCCCACCCCCCTCCCGTCTAAAACCCTTTTGTTTCTCAGAGTCCATAGTCTCTCATGGTTCATCAATAAAATTCTTTAAAATAAAAGTGGAGGTGGGGGGATTAGGGAAGGGAAAATACCTAACACTTTGAATGCTTGTTAAGTGCCAACATCCTTATTCTCACATACACTCCCTGCTGGTGGGCATTAGTACATTTTGATGGACAAGAACACAGGCTCACTTTAAGTCTTATGCCAAAGGTATGAAGCCTAGCTAAGACGGTGAGCTGGGACTCAAACCCAAATGCACATGCTCTTTCCCTTATCTGGTTCTGCCTATGTTAAGCATCTTGTTAGCTATCTGAAGTGTAAGGAGGACCATCTGACCTCTTCCAGTTTTTTAACCTTTAGCAAAGCAGGAATGACCCTCCTCCCATCCCTGAGGCCATTACACCACACCACACTGCAAACTCCCTGGGAGATGACCACGGGGAACAGGGCGGAGTCTGGGAATGGGTCAGCAAGGATTATGTTGCCTACACTTGGAACTCCTAAATCATTCTGAAATGACCTTGTTCTCAGGATAATTGGGTCCTGCATGGTCTGCATCTCAGTGTTTGACTTTTTTTTTAATCAATGGATTTGCCTGTCGAATGGGAGTATTTCAGTCTGCATTTGAGCAGGGCCACCTGTCCTCCATAGGCGTCCTGATATGCATGCCTTGTCAGATTTGATTTTAAGATTTTATGTATTTGGGGGCGCCTGGGTGGCTCAGTCGGTTAGGCGTCTGCCTTCGGCTCAGTCATGATCCCAGGGTTCTGGGATCGAGCCCCACGTTGGGCTCCCTGCTCCACCGCGGGGAGCCTGCTTCTCCCTCTCCCTCTGCTTGCTGCTCCCCCTGCTTGTGCTGTCAAATAAATAAAATCTTAAAAAAAAAAAAAAATTTTTATGTATTTGAGAAAGAGTGAGCGCGAGCAGGTGGGAGGGGTGGAGGGAGAAGGACAAGCAGACTCCCTGCTGAGCAGGGAGCTCCATATGGGGCTCGATCCCAGAACCCTGGGATCATGACCTGAGCCGAAGGCACATTCAGATCAACCGACTGAGCCACCAGGGCGCCCCTGGATTGGAGAGCTTGGATTCTGGCATTAGGAATGTGGACCACAGCAGGCTACCTGGTTCTCTGCCTCAGGGTACACAGGGTCCTCAGTGTGGTCCAACAGTCCTCTCAATACCCATTTCACGCAACGCCTGGGTGGCTCAGTTGTTAAAGCATCTGCCTTTGGCTCAGGTCATAATCCCGGGGTCTTGAGATCGAACCCCGTGTTGGGCTCCCTGCCCAGCGGGAAGTCTACTCCTCCCTCTCCCTCTGCTGCTCCCCCTGCCTGTGCGCTTTCTTCTCTGTCAAATAAATAAATAAAATCTTTAAAAAAATACTCATTTCACAATGGCAGTTTGAAGGGCAGGAGTGGAGACAGATACAGTCCCCCCCCCCCCCGCCCCACCCTGGGATGATGATACAATCTTAAAAGCTTAATTCGGTTATACTAGCTTTTCAAAAAGATACTTAAGTATAGAAGTGACATGCATGTTAAATCCATCGGGCTCCCTGCTCAGTGGGAAGCCTGCTTCTCCCTCCCCTGCTTGTGCTGACAAATGAGTAAGTAAATCTTTAAAAAAGAAGAAAAAAAACTTCAAGGTCAAGAACATCTTCTTTCCAGTCGGCTCAAGAAAGTAACCAATACTCGGGCTGGAGTATCTTTTTCTTTTCAGAGAATTTGTTGACACACACAAAAAACCCCTCCAAGACTCGAGATGGTATTGCCGTGGGCCCGCTGCTGAGGCCCACCTGCTCAAGATAGCCGAGTAAGCAGCGGCCAGTTAGGAGACCTCCCCTCCTCTTGGAGACAGGCCCCGCCCCTCACGCTCACCGGCTACCCCTGCCCCCATCCCACTGCATCTCCACAACAGCCTGGCTCGCCCAGAATTTACCCTAGGACAGCAAACTTGACAGCGCCCCACTCCCGCACTCCTAGCCTTCTGGAGGCCGCCGCCCAGTTCTCCTGACTCAAAGGGACAAGGGCAGCCCCAAATCAGGGGCTGGGCAACCTATCAGAGCCAGCAAGCCCAGGGCCCAGGCCCCCAGCCTACGGCACCCCCTCATTCCAACTGGCCTTCACGCAACCCTGTACCACACGAATCTCTATGGAGGAGTGACTCTCAGCCTCCTCTTGTGTGACCGACAGGTGACACTTACCTGCTGTGTCGGCAGTCAGGGAAGCCCTAGCTGGGTGCCTGGGACTCTACCCCCCTTAAAGGACCTTTTAAGGATAACCTTCAATTTGACCTGATTTATACACATTCCTGGGCTTTAAACTCCCGCAACAGTAATACTTCTGGCAACAGCCCTCCCCGTGGCACGAGCCTGGACAGAACGCACAGGAGAGGCTGGGGCAGCAGGTTTCAAAAACTCACTTTATTCCAATGTGAAATGAAGACGTGATGGTTTAAAAACAAGAAAAAGTTCTTGATCAGCGGTGGGGAGGCTTCGCTTGCTAGCTCACACCCACTGCCTTTGAAACAAGGGAAGTGGACAGACCATACCCAGAAGCAGCTCCCCGCAAAGCCCCCGGCAGAGGCCCCAGCCCGGGAACAGGTCCCTCCAGCCCACCGGGTGGGGCGCTCCCCCCGCCCCATCAGGGCTCTGACAGCAGGCACAGAGGAAGCGGGAGAGGGAGTAGCTGGGGCTCACGGGAGCCACCGCCTTTCGCGGACACCCCCACGCCGCCCCAGAGCTCCCCTCCGTAGGAGGTGCTTGTGTGACAAGGACCATGTAGGGAGCTGGGCTCCACCACCAAGTGGCCATCACTGCTGTATCTAGTCAATTCCCCACCAGGGTCCAGGACTCAGCCCTGGGTCCCCCAGTCCCTGGGCCTACCCCAGCCCCACTGTGCCCACTGTGCGTCCGGCAGCTCAGGTTACAAGGGGGAGGATACATTCGGACCGTAGCCCCCAGGGTGGGCCCCAGCTGGGAGGCAGGGGGACAGGGAGGCCGCCCCTCCTGTCGGGCCCCGGGGCAGACAAGCCAGGGCTGCGGACAGGTGTGTGTCTGGGCAGCCGCCGCCGCCGCCCTCCCGCCGCCGCGAGCGCAAGGCCCGGTCACAGTCACCACCTTGCTGCGGAGCTAAAGTGCACCCCCACCCTCCGGCCCTGCCACCGAGCTCCGGCTCCCCACCCTAGGACACAGGAAAGCTCCCCTTTTTGGCGTCAAACCTGGACTCGAGGCCAAGCTGGGCCGAGGGGCAGCGGCGGCACACGCAGCAGCCATGACGTCAAACATACGAGCGACCTGAGAAATGTCATCTTCACGCCATCCACTCGGAACCAAAGTGGGGCTATGTACAGATTAGGAAGGACGGATCGACACACTCACGGGCACGGACACACTCGCACACACCTGCTGGGGGGGTCCCCCAGCTGGGAACGGATGCCCACACACTCCATCCACGTGTCTTCAATGAGGCCTCTGCATCGTATATTCATTGAACCAGTGCAAAAACGTCTTTGGGGAGGGGGCAGGCAGGCCAGGGTCCCAGGAGGATGCTTGGGGGTGGGGGTGGGGTTGGAAACATGGAAGAAGAGGGACCTGTTTCCTCTCCCGATCTGCAGGGCATGCCCCCCTTCTCCTGGAGTCTGGATCACTGGGTAACGGGGCAGCCGGCTGACTGTCCATCTGTCTCTCCCTTTCTACCCCTGCAAGCTCGGGGAAGAAGGGTCCTTGGCGGCCCGGGGCTGGGAGGCTGAGTCCTCTGAGGCCCCTGCTGGCTCAGGCTCGGTGGCCATGGGTTCCTCAGCCTTCTCCCTGTTTCTGCTGGCCTCCTGGAGCTGTTGCCGCCGCGCCACCTCGGCTTTCAGATTCTCCAAGTCTTTTTGGCTGAGTAAAAGGACAGGGGCGAAGGGCAGGTGTCAGAGCAAGCCTGGGCCCTCTGTCACCTTACTGGCCCTGGTTACACCTACACCCGGGGCAAAACCAGGCTCGTTCTTTGTCTGGAGAGACACGCGTGGAACAAGTGCTGCCCTCCCCAGAGCCAGAGGCTTCTAAGCACTCAAAGTACAAGCTCTGCGCACGTGGCACGGCCTCCCATTAAGGCCTGGCCCCGCTCAGCCTCCACATCCAGCTCACACTCACAGCAAGTGCGGGCGGGGCAGGCGCACGAACCCCGGCGCCCACGCCGAGCCCCCCCGCGCGTCCCCCAGCGGCGGCAGGGAGGCGGGGCCCAGCCGGGGGCGGGGGCGGGGGGCGAGGCCCGCGTGGGGGCAGGAGGCCCGAGGAAGAAGGCGGCGGCTCTCAAGGACAGCGAAAGACCGCCGGGGCCCAGCAAGCGTGGGGAAGATGCAGCCCCGGCCTTGCTCTGCCACAATCGTGTGCAAATAAAGAGGGAAAAAAGGACAAAAAAACAGAACAAGATTACGGACGTGCATCTGCTCAACGACGCAGACTACTTCCTGGACGATGCACAGGGCACTTCTTACCACGGGCTGTACTTGTCAATTCCGAGCCACGACAGTGAGTTATTTATTTTGAAAAGCAAAACACTAAAGCCAACTTCCACGCGGGTGCGCAGCGCACTCGGAGGGGGCCTCACCTGAGAGGAATGAAGAGGATGCCGTTGATGACGTTGAGCTGTTCCAGGACGCTGGCCATGCTGGGGGCTGTGAGCTGAGGGCCGGCAGGGCAGGTGAGCCTCGAGCGGCGCCGGGAGGCCGGGCCACGGGCGCCCGCGGGGGGTGGGGGGGGTGGGGGGGCACACACCCACCTTGAGGGGCGGGATGTTGGCGCTGGAGCCGTTGCGGTAGATCTCGTTCATGGTGCGCTGCAGGGCCACGGCCTGCTGGGTCAGGCACTTGAGGTACTCGGAGCTCTCCTTGGTCTTCTCATGGTCCTCGCCCAGCTGGGGGCGGGCGGGGGGGGGCACAGGCAGGAAGGGATCAGCGATGCCGCAGCCCACGGGCCCAGTGCCACCTCCCCAGCCCCTGCCGCGGCCCACCTGGGTCTTATAGATCGTGTAGCCTTCCTTCTCGTGCTGCAGGGCTGACCGGAACTCGGCTTTGCTCTCATAGACCCGGGCCACGAGGTGGTGGCTACAAGGAGGCGTGCAGGGCACAGAGGGACAGGCGTGGGCGGGGGCACGATGGGGGTGCGCAGACCACTCTAGACTCAGCTCTGGAATCCACCCGAGGGGAACAAACAAGCCCACGACTCGGAGAAGAGACGAAGTTGGGAGAAAATTCCTCAGGAGTCAGATGGAAGCCAGAATGCTGCATCCCGTGTCCACCCTCTAGCCCGAGTTGCCTACCGGGACCTCGTCACTGTGGCCCTGGGCGCCCCCTGCCCCTAAGCCAGCACGGCCTCACCTGAGGGCCACCTTGAGGGATTTGGGCCCGTGGTACTTGGTGCTGACGGCCAGCGCGTTCTCCAGGAAGCGCAGTGATAGGTCATACTCCATCACCCCGTGCAGCACCAGCCCGATGTTGTTCTGGGGACAGCGGGAGGGCCCGGGTCAGTCCTGCTGCCCCAGGACTGAGGCTCGCCCCACCGCAGCCCCCGCCGGCCCCCCAGCACCCACATCCAGCAGTGCCGTCTCGGGGTGGTCCTCCCCGAACACGAGCAGGGTGAGGTAGCGGGCGCGGTACAGCAGGCTCAGGGCCGTGGACAGCTGGCTGCTGGCGAAGCAGTACAGGGCCAGGTGCATCTGTGGGGGGGCAGCCGTGTCAGGCCCGGCGGCCACGCTCCCCCCGCGGGCCCCGCCCCCACCGGCTGCTCACATATTCCTGGATGGTGTTGGGGTGTTCGATGCCCATCACTCGCTCGCTCATCAGCACTGCCTTCTGTTGGTTACTCAGGGCCTGGGAGAGGTGGGGAGTCGTCACCCCGGGGTGGTGAGCTCCCCACACTGAGTCTGCCTGGCCCCCAAGCGGCCCCCAAGCGACTCAGCCTCCTCAGCAGAGAAGTGTTCAAAACTCAGTTCTGAGCATGGAAGGCCATGCCCCACTCCGAGGCCTTTTTAAAGAGCTTGTCTTGAGCCTTTTGCCCCTAACAAAATCTGTGCAAACATCTATACAAATCTAACACTAGGCTAAAAATAAAGCAATAAGAAGAAGAAGAAAAAGCACACACAAACAAACAAAAAAACCTCTACGGCTGAGGAGCGGGGGCCTACAGTGCACCTGCCCCGTGAAGCAGCCTCTTGGAGTCCCAGGCCAACAAGGCAGGCGGACCCCACCAGGCCAAGGATTGCTCAGAGGTGCTCCGAGCAGCTTCACACCACTTCACAAGGCCCCAGGTCCTGTGACTCCGAGAACCCACCCTCCCCACTGTCCCCGTGCAGGGAGGTCCTGTCAGCACTCTGTCCACAAGCACGGAGGCTCTCCCGACATCACTCCTGAACCGCAGAGCAGGGGAAGAAAGCCAGGCAGCCTCCCTGGTCTCTGCCGTTCCTCCCAGGGGGCCCCCAGGGAGAGCAGCACCCTCGGCCCCACAGACGGGGCACACTTCCCCAGGCCTGGACCTCCGCTGCCTGTGGCATGGGGTGAGAACACAGCCCCAGCTCCCTCGCTAGCCTCCCCCAGTGCCAGGCCAGGCGCCAAGGCCTCCGCTGACAGCCCAGAGGGTGCTCCAGGCCCACCTCGGCGTAGTCGCCCATAATGTAGTGGAGACGAGCAAGGAGGCGCAAGCAGGCGCAGATCTCCACGTGCATGGCTCCGTACACGTTGTTAAACAGGTTCAGGGCCTCATTGATGAGCTCACAGCCCTCCTTCAGGAAGCCTGCAGGGCACCCCCAAGGGTGGCAAGGTCAGGGCTGGGCCAGGGGACCCCCCTCCCCCCAGCCACACCTGGTCACGCACCCTGCTGTACTTTGGCCTGCCCACTCTGGAAGAAGTGGAAGGCGTCCGATGCCTTTGGGTTGACGTGCTTGACCACGGGGAAGATATTGAGCACATCCTCCTCAGTGAATGCGGGTTTGTGGCGGCTGTCGAAGCTGTACTCCTTCAGCAGGATCTGGGGGACACAGCCCAACACCCACAGGTGGCCTCAACCCCAGGCTCACGTGGACGGCACCTCCCAGCCTACCGCCCCACGTCGAGAGAAAGCCACGCCCCCCCCGATGGCCCTGCAGGAGCCTACAGGGGCGAGGGCATGGGACGGACCCCCCGAGTCACCCACCTGGATACCGGTTTTCAGGGAGATTTCCCGCAGCAGCGTGATCTTCTGCAGGCCATACGTCTCCACAGCCTGGTCCACGGTCTCGCTGGGGGAGAGGCGGCCATGTGGGCCTGGGCAGCCCAGCCCGTCTCGGCCCCTTGTCCACAGCTGCCTCCCCACCTGAGTACCAAGTACTCACCAGCCAGGACCCAGACCAACAGCCCCCACCCCAACCCCAAGAGCAAGCAGCCCTCCACTGCTCCCTTCCTCCTCTCCTAGCCCACACCCTGCAACCACAGGCCATGGCCCCCAGCGGCCCTCGTGCTGAGGGCCCAGCGCCCCCATGGTGTTGCTCACGCACCACTCAAGGCTGAAGTCGAAGTAGTTCTTGGCCTCCTGGCAGATGTTCTTCCAGAGCTCCTGGGGGGTCATGACAGCCCAGGCTGTGTTATCTGCCGCCCCTAGGGGCCGGTTTCTCCTCCTCCTGTTCCTCTTCTTGGAGATTAGCTCATCGGCGGGCAGGTGGGCCACGGGGTTGGGGTAGGAGCTCAGGAAGCAGTTCAGAAAGTGGCTAATGGCAGCTGAGAGGCCCGAGAGCTCCACTCCCTGCAGGGTTTTGGACTCATGTCGTTAAGGGCCCTTAGGCCCTAGCCCAGGGCTCTTCCCCCGCCTCCCCCTGCCCCGCCCCGCCGTACCTGTAAGTATGTCTTGAAGATGTGCTTGGCAGAGCGGGTGATGAGCTCTCCGATGCCAATTTTCTGCAAGGGTTCAGAGAAGGGAGTCTGGGTCCGGCCCCAGGCCTCCACTCAGTCCCCCTGCCGCACAGCCCGCCACCCTGAGCACCACTCACATAGATGTGGTCCAGCTGCTCTCGGGCCGGGCTCCGGAGGACCAGGTCTAGCACCTTGCCCAGGTAGCGCATGTTGATGCCCCGCTGACGCATCACCTCAGCCAGCGTGGCGCCGTCCATGGGCAGCACCGCATGGTCGATGCAGTCCTTCACCTGTGGGCTGCAGCAGGTCAGGCGCCCCCAGCCTGGACCCTCTGCCTCCTCCCACCCTGCGTCTTCCCGGCGGGGAGCTCATGCTATCCTGAGGTCCTGAGGGAAGGAGGGCACTGAGACCCGAGCTCCCAGTTGGGAAGAGGGAAGAAGGCAAAGCAGCAGCCAGGACACAGGAGAAACGTGTCCCCCAGCCTTTTACACAAGCAACAGGAAATGGGAGAGCAGTCACCCTGTGCCTGCCAGGCCCACCCAGTAGAGCAGCAGGGGTGAGGGCTCCCCTCTGAGCATGCGGGACAGAGCAGAGGTGACCACTTGGGGGCCACAGCTTTGCCAAGCCTGGAAGGTTTGTGTCAAGCCTCAGAGAGATCAGGCAGGGGGCCCGGGCGGCTGGCACGAACACTTGGCTCCAAGACCTGAGACAAGCATGCTACCCGAGCACGGGGCTACCTTACTAGGGAGCAAGCTCCCCATCATCCAAGGAGCCTACGTACAAAGCTTGTGAGGCCGAGAAGATAGGACCCTCCCCACCTTTTTTTCCAGATGCCCCCCCATCACCCTCCCTGAAGCTGTCCTGTCACACGGGGGCTCAGAGGCCCAGACCCCTAGCTGCCAGCCCCCAGGGAAGGCACAACAGAGCAGACTCTGTGTCTGATGCCTCCCTCGGCCTCTCTGGGTCAGCAGCCCTATCCATATGATGGTGGCAAGCACTCCAGCCCGCCGCCCTCACAGATCAGCAGGTCTAAGGTTCCACAAGCTTCCAGAACTGGATGGATGAGGCACCAGGGCCTTTAACAGCATGCCCTGTGCAGCGCACCCCCCCCGCCCCGCCCTGGCACCTCCCTCACCAAGCCAGGGATCTGGCAGGAGAGCAGGAAGGCAGCGGCGTCTTTCAGCAGCTGCTTCTGGTCCCGAACTTCCTCCTGGCAGGACTCTGGGAAGCGAACCCCTGTGGGAAGAACAGCAGAAGCCTGAGCGAGGCAGAAGAGAGGCGAGTCGGGGAGACAGATACCAGCACCCACCAGCACCAAGGGCCCCAAGATGGCCTGCGTGGTCCTCCACCCGCCCTGACGCAAGGCTTGCCTGGTGAGAAGATGTCAGGGTTGAAGCGGACGTCAAAGGCCGTGCTGCTGATGGAGCCAACTGCCTTGCACGCGTTGCGGATCACCTCCCGGCTCCGAGGGTCTGCTGTGGAGACGCGGCCAGCTGGGAGGCAGCTCCCCTCCACCAGCACCACCAGGCGCTACCCTGAACCTCCCGTACCTCCACACAGACGCACCTGCGGGCCTCCCTCCGGCTGCCTCAAACACCCGCAGCCCCCTCCGGCCCCGGCCCGCACCAGCTGCCGGGACAGAAGTGGGGCCCGGCCCTCCCCGCATCCACAGCAGCCCCACCTGTCCCGTCGTCCGAGGCGATGGTCTCCGCCAGCTCCTTCACCTCGGCCAGGCCGCTGGCACTGCCACTTTCCTCCCCACGTCCTGCCTCGGGTCCCGGAGGATCTTCGGGCTTAGATCCCGAGGACGGGCAGTCACCGTTTTCCAGCGAGGTGGAGTTCTCCATCCTGCTGGCCTTCTGCTGCATGAGCTGCAGGGCAGCGAGCTTCATGAAGAGGAGGTACCTAGAACGCGGCAGATCAGGCAGAGCACGAGATGGGAAAGGCTCTCCAGAAGCCTCACTGGCTGGCTGCGGGGACCCGGGCCAGGCCCCCGACTCCTGGCCTGTGCCACGCCAGCAACTCCAACAGGCAGCAGCAGGTCACCACCCAAACCGAGCTCTTCCCAACTGGAGGGCGACAGCTGGAGTGAGAGCGGGGGAGAGGCCAGGGGCTCCGTGCAGGCCAGCTCACAAGGGAGACGGGGCCTCACCGGCATTTTGAGAAGGAGACTGGTTTGCGGTGTGGGACACCTGATGTGGCTGACTCCTGAGCACTTAACGCCAGCAGGGGTGACACCCCCCAGCACTGGGACATTTAAGAACACTCTAGCAGGGGTGTCTGGGTGGCTCAGTCGGTTGGACGTCTGCCTTCGGCTCGGGTCATGATCCCAGAGTCCTGGGATCGAGCCCCACATCGGGCTCCCTGCTCGGCAGGGAGCCTGCTTCTCCCTCTCCCTGCCGCCCCCCCCCCCCCCGATTGTGCTCTCGATCACTCTGTCTCTCTCAAACGAATATAAAATCTTAAAAAGCAACAACAAAAAACCACTGTTAGCAGATTTCCATAGGCCCCCTTAGAGGAAGAGCACCCCCTCTGAGAGCCCCGGTCTAGCTGGTTTGCGGGTTTTCCACCAACAGAAAGCCCCTGGATGTCCAAGTTGCGGAGCCTGACGTCACAGTAGGGAGGCTGGGGGTGTAATAACTGTGGCCAAAGCGGGCTGCTCGTCACTTTCCCGAGCCTGTCCCGTCAAGGAGCAGGCCCCGGGACCGCCTGCTGGCTGGGCACCCACCCGGGCCTCACCTGTGCTCCACGAAGGCATCCACCAGCTCCTGGCGCAGGCAGCAGAGCTTGTGCCGGTGGGCGCGGGGGAAGCCGGCGCGGCTGCACTCCTCGGGCAGCCCCTCGCCGGGCACGGGCAGGAAATTGAGGTCGGGGGGGAAGGTGCGCAGCAGGTCGAGGATGTAGTGGCGCCCGTCGTTGCCAATGATGCCCTTGCACTCCACGGAGGAGCAGAGCTCCACCTCCTCGTCGCGGTCGTTGAGCACCCGGTGCCTCAGGATCTTGAGAGGCCGGCTGGTACGTTCCAGAAGCTCCAGGTAGCGAGGGTGCGACATCACCGTCTTGCCGAAGTCAATGGAGCCGTAAATGACGCTCTGCTCCTGGTCCCGCTCCAGGATGCCCGGGATGATGGACTGCGCTGTGACGCGGTAGCCCCGGTAATCCACCACCACCGTGCCCAGCGTGTACAGCCCCTCCACGTCGACCGCGCTGTACGTGCGCACGCCGTTCAGGTCATTGGTGGGTGCCACGTAGGCCGCCACGTCCCCACCGAAGTCCTTGTAGTGGTCGCGAACATCAAAGCCCAAGCTGAAGAAGATGTTGTTCCAGATGAACATCTGCATCTTGGTCTCCTCACTGGGGTTGATGGCCATCACGTTGCCATCGATGACCGCCATGGCACCCCGCGTGGCCGCGGCTGTGAAGTCGCTGTGCACCTGCGGGGCGGTCGAGACCAGGAGGGTGAGAAAGGCCCCGTCCCCGGGAGCCGCAGGTTTCGGCCCGCCTGGCCAAGCTCACCCAGACAGTGTGGCCAAGTGGATGGCCCTAGGGGCCACGGGGGTCTAACGTCGGCTTCCTCACACTTAGGAAAAGGCAAGAAACTCATTTTTTGAGAAAACGTTAACTTCTGCTCAGAGAGACGCAGAGCTCAGGGATTAACAAGGAGGGAAAGGACTAGAGCGGGTCTTGGATCCACCCATTATGTGCCAGGTGAACTTGGCCAGGTCCCCTCTCAGACCTGTTTTCCCCACCAATAAAACAGTGACAATCAAAGTATCGACCTTTACGAGGTGTCCAAAAGGTTCCAGATGGTGCTGTAAGACACCTGACAGAGCCGCTGGCAAAGTCAGTACTCAAAACAGTGCCATCTTAGGTCTACCATTATCATCTCTAGACAGGATGATCATAGGAGATTAAAAACGGCTCTTCTGAAAGCATTACTTTTTCTTCCTCTCTCTAGGTAATATCACAGTGTGCCCAGGCGAGGTCCCAGTGGCAGACAGCAGTGGGCGGGAAGCCGGGAGAAACCTGTCACGCAGCCCACAATGGAGGAGGTCCCCCTACCCTCCACCCAGCCCTTGGACTCCAAGTCTCAGAGAGGTCACAAAACGGAGCTGGGATAGTCTGCCCGGAGGCGAGAAGCCAGCCAATGCCCTGCAAGGTATCCTGACCGGCCCTCTTGGCAGGTGGCAAGCAGGCCTGAGGCTGCCAGTCAGGCAGGAGGAGCCGTAGGCACCTTGAATATAGCTCTTTCTCGAAGCAGCCGCTCAGGCAGGTTCTTGCGGGGCAGTTCCCTTGTCGTCTGCAGCTCCTCGTTCCAGTCCCGGGTCTGCAAAGGGACCAGGGCGGGAGATGCCGGATCAGCCCAGGCCCCAAGACCTGCTCTGGGTAGCCCCTCCCTCCGCCTGCCTGTGGACAGCCTCAAACGCTCCCAAGTGAACCAGACAGTCAAGCAGATGAAGTTTCCAGGGAGGCGCACAGAACCCAGCCTGGCACCCACCCAGGGCGGGGGAAGAGAGGGGTCCAGGGAGGGCGAGGCCAGGCTGCAGGCACCTGTCCAGGAATGTGCTCCTCATAGCCCAGCCTGGAGGTGTAGGCGTCCTCCGCACGCACACAGTCCATGGCATGCTCTGCCTGGGGGGCCGTCCAGCTGTACACCTGGAACGGGGTGGCAATCCTCTCGAAGGGGTGGCGCTGGACCCTGTGGCAGCAACATGGGGAGATGGGGAAGACGGCCAAGCTGAGAGCCCCGGCCTAGCCCCCTTCTGACGCCCCCACCAGCTCTCGTGCCTCCCAGCCCGAGACCCTGCCCCCGCGGAATCTAACAGAAGCAAATGGGCACCTCTTCTAGGACTGCTGTCTTGGGGTCTAGCAGCTCCCTAAGGGGAGGCTCCGGGGTGCTAGGGGCTGAGGGCATAGGGCTTCTGAGGGAAGATGTGGGGTGGGAGACAAGGGGCAGAGACGGGGCAGAGGCGTTACCTTTTCTTCTGCAGCACAGCAAAGTTTTTTTTGAAGGTGGGGCTGATCTGGTTGAGCAGCTCCACCAGGGAATGGCTGAGGAAGCGGGGACTGGCAGGCTTGGGGTTGAAGTGATATGCTGTGGACCTGTGGGGAGAGGGTGGTCACTGCACAGGGCACCCCAAGTAGCCGCCCAAAGACCTGGATGGGCTCACACAGGGACTTACTGGTTCAGGTAAAAGCCCCGCGTGGACGCCGTGATGCTGACTTGCCGGTCCTCGGCTGTGATCACAAACAGGTACATGAGGTCCCCATGCATCTTGCGGTTCCCAGGGGGCGGGTTCCAGCCACTCATGGTGAGCACTTTCAGGCACTGCAGGGGCTGCAAGAATGGCCAAGCGTGAGCGGGGGCCAGGCCTCTGGGTGTGGTGCACCGCCCCCCTACCCCCACCCCACCAGGGGCCTGCTCCCTGTCTCTGTTCCGGGCATACTACCTTCCAGTCACGGTTCTGGGGCTGCAGGGGACACAGTGGCCGCTCCCGGCTCCCTGGAAGGATGTACTCAGGTGGCGTGCAGTCAATGGGGTCCATCTCCAAGCCTTTCTTCCGCTTCCCGCTGTCTGAGGGACCCGGGGCTGGTGGTCAGCACAGGGCCACCCAGGGGCAAATTGGCCCCAGCATGGAGGCCTCCAGCCCTGCCCCCTCCTGGTGGCAAGGCCTGGCCCCTAGCCCCTTCACCAGCCCCTGGCCAATTTGCCCCTGGCCCCTCTGCCCAACCCCCAGGCCCAATGCCTCCTGCACCTCCCAGGTCGCCATCAGTAAAGACGCTCAGGAAGGACAAGGAGTTGCAGTCAACCCCGTTGAAGGCATCGGATGGGTCAAGGCTCTTGAGCAGGTCCCGGACATGGCGCACGTGGATGCGGGCCTCACGGACTGTGTACGGTTCTGTCGGGAGGGCGAGAGGCAGCGTGTGAGCAGGGCCCGCCCCCCGCTACACCAACCTGCCCAGCACAGAGAAGTCGGCCAGGGGGCTACCACGGTAGTCTTGATTTTCACATTTTAGGCCTCCACTTACAGAGGCCATTATGAGCACATAAGCTGGATTCAACACACACACCCCCTTCCGTTAGGCAGGGATCCTTGTTTGCAAAGAATCTTCTGCCAAAGGGCACAAGAAATGCTTCCTGAAGCACGCAGGCCTCGGGGAGCCCACAAAAGCCCCCTGCTCTCATTCCCAGGTGTCCCACGTGGGCAGGTCCGAGGAGGAGCTGCGGGGTCCCTACACCGCAGCCTCAGTCCTGCTCTCCCAGGGCAGCCCTTGCTCGGGGGTGGCCTGAGAACTTCCCCGTAACTACAACACTACCCCCCAATATATGCTTCGTGAATTTTAATGGGGGCTCTTTTGAGGGAGAAGAGAGACTTCACCATCAAGTAAGTTTGGGCATGCTTGCATTACACTTTCCACATTTGCTTTTAACAAGCTCACATTGCCCGGAACCTCTGAGCTATCTCTCTTCCCTGGGGACCCAAGGTCATGGGAGCTTTTATTTTACAAGCAAACCAGCCTCGCCACACCAGCCGACTGCTGCCCACTGGGCCTGACTGCTCTACTTGAGGGCTGTGAAACTTAATTTTATGAGATTTAACTTCTCTCTCTTTTTTTTATTCTAAGCTGTAACCGTTTCTTTTTTTTTTTTTACGATTTTATTTATTTTGAGAGCGAGAACAAGCAGAGGGAGGGGCAGAGGGAGAAGCAGACTTCCCACCAAGCAGAGAGCCCGATGGGGGGCTGGATCCCAGGATCCTGAGATCATGACCTGAGCTGAAGGCACACGCTTAATGACTGAGCTACCCAGGTGCCCCGAGATTTAACTTTTCTTTCTACAGAATTTGACTGGGCTGATCTCAAGCCCTTGGTACTGTTTTTCAAGATTGTATTTATTTGAGAGAGAGAGAGAGAGAGAGAGAGAGCACATACGCACGCACACCCAGGTGCCCTTTTTTTGTTTTTCTTTGAAAGTGAGCACGCAAGTGCGAGTTAAGGGGAGGGAAGGAAGGGCAGAGGGAGAGGGAGAGAGAATCTCAAGCAGGTTCCATGGCTGGCGTGGAGCCTGATGCAGGGCTCAACTCACGACCCTAAAATCACGACCTGAGCTGAAATCAAGAGTCAGATGCTTAACTGACTGAGTCACCCAGGTGCCCCAGTTGGTACTGTTTTTTTAAAAAACAAAACGAAACAAAACAAAAAAACATGACTTTGATATTTAACCTACAGTGTTGAAGAGTACACGTGTGAAGGCCTGAGGAGCAGATCTGGGCTCCAATCCTGCCTTCACAAGTTCAGTACTGTTCCGAGCCTCCACACACCCATCTGTGACACTGAGATACCAGCCAGGGTGGGTGGAGTGCCACCCGGCCCCACCTCTGTGTGCCCTCCCTTGGCAGGCTGCCCAACTTCTGGACAAACCTTCCACCACACGTAGCACCGAGCCCTCCTGCAACCCCTCGACACTGCGCAGCTCTGAGAAATGGTCCAACATGTTGCCATCCAGGTGCAGTGAGAAGCACGTGCGGTGACATGTGTCTTCGCGGTCCATCAGTACCTGGTGGATCTCCTGTACCATCTCCTGGGGGGACACCTACCAAGGAAAAGGCCCCAAACACCGTGATGAGGACATACTGCCTTCCCTACAGTACAAGGCTAGGACGAGCGACGGCCAGGCCCTAATGGGCTCATGCTCCGGTCCCCAGGACCCCTCTCCTCCATCTCACCTGTAAGGAAAAGGGCTCAATCCCAGGTGCCAGGATCTTCACAGAAAAGCCTGTGTCCTGAATGACAATGACTTCCTGTCCAGTCGTCTCCTCTCCCGGCTCGGCCTCATCCAGACCATTTTCCCGGGACAGCTCGGCAGCCCTTTCTTCCTTCTTTAGACCCTCTGGACAGTCCCCATTCAGTAGCATGACTGACGGCAGCTCTGCAGCTAACAAGGAAGCAGCTGAGGTAAGTGGGGCCACCTGCCTCACCCACCTGGGTGGACATGTGCGCCACAGAATGGCGTCCGCTGCACTTCCTCCCGAGACTCAGCCCTACCCCAGACCCACAGTCCCACTCACGTTGGGCACACCACTTCCCTCAACCCTGGCCACCTGGAGCCCACTGCCTCCTCCCTTCCACATCCTGGGCCCTCCCTTCCATCTGCTCCTCAGTCTTCCAGTCTGGCTTCCATCTGGGCACACCACCCAAATCCCTCTCCCCAGAGTCACCCCAAGGCCCAACCCCAACTGTCTTCTCTGGCCTCAAGGTGTGTGACTTCTCAGCAGCACCCATCACTGCTCACTTTCTCCTCCCCTTCCCTGTAGTCACTGATCCCTTGTTCCTGGCTCTCCAGCTCCGCCCCCCCTTCCAGCAGCCCAGGCTGTGCATGTCCCAAGCCCCAGCCTCTCCTGACCTCCCAGGACTTCAAACGCCCTCCCGCCATGCAGCTAACCTGGCCAATCTAGGCCTTGCTCAAGCTTTTCAACATGTAGCCATCCCTTAGGCATCACCAAAGTTTCATCTTGTTGATAGGGAATTCACTTTCCTCCACAAGCGGGCTTCTGCTCTGGAAATGCCCCCCCCACCCCTAGTCACCCAGCCTAATCTCCAAACTGGTCATGGAACCCAGCCTCTGCAGCCATGGCCCCGGATAGGCCATCTTCCCTATTTCAAGAGCACCACTTAGAACCCACTGCTCGCAAGATCCAAGCTTCTTAGGCCAACACTCTCAGGCACCAGCCTGAAGCACATCTCAGCTCCTACCAGCTCTCCCTGTCAATGTCTCAGGAACACAAACTACTAGGCAGCCTGAGAACAGGCTCCCCATCTTCCCTTCCACCTCTGTGCTTTCGTGCAGTTCATGCTCCCCTCAATATACCACAGGCAAACATACTCATGCGTCAAGGCCCAGGTGAAATAAGCCCCCCCTCTATATTTCTTTCTTTCTTTCTTTCGAGCAGAAGCAAGGGAGGGGGAGAGGGAGAGAGAATCTCAAGCAGATTTCCATGCTCAGCACTCAGAGCCCGACACAGGGCTGGAATCTCACAACCCTGAGATCATGACCAGAGCCAAAATCAAGACTCGGACACTTAACCGACTGAGCCACCCAGGTACCCCTAGACCCCCTTCTCTAAAGCCTGCCCAAATGACCCCTGACAACAGAATCACTGCATCCTCATTGCCCCCCAGAGACATGGTGACCACCTCCCAGAGCACTGTTCTGTCATTCTGGGGGGCTGTTCACACTAGCAACTGTATCTTCTTCCTTCTATCTTTCTTGCACTCAAAAGAAATGCGCTGAATTAATGAATTAAGCACTGCACATGTGGAGTTAAGTCCAGTATTTGCGAACAGCACCCAATTCACATGCTGTGGGGAAAGAGAAATAAGCAGGTGACAAAACCTTCCCTTTCTACCCAGGCACTAAGGGGAATAAAGGAGAGTCCCCTCCCTGCCCTGGGGAGCAAGGACCTCCTCACCATCACGCCAGCAAAACACAGGCCTGCCTGGATATCCATTTGGCCCACGGGCCTTCCCGCCCGTGGTCAGGCCCCTTGCTTGTCTGAGAGGTCCAGACAGGTCAGCTCACCCAGCTCTGCTCCACACCCCACCTCCTCTTCCCTACTGTTAGGAGTGAGATGCATTTTCCCCAGAACTTCGTGGGCCCTACCCAGACACACCAGAAATGTGGAGCCAGAGGCCTCAGGAAAGGAGATAAGCCCAGGACAGAAGGGCACGCCAGGGGTGGTGTGCAGAGAAGCCACTCCCCCTTCCCTGTGTCCCCTCAGCTTAGTGATAAACAGGACCGCCAGGAGCTCTGATACAGTTCCCTCCACCTCCCCCACCAAATAAGGACGCATGAGGCCCAGAGAAGTTCAGGGCCTTGTCCAAGGTCAAGAGTGGACCCCAGATTCCCCATCAAGAGCCCACACCACCAGGCCATCAAACTGCCCTCAATCTTGGCCACTATGGATCTCCAAGGACTGCTATCACTCTTGTCCCAGCACACCTCTCTAAACCTGAGGTGGAATTCCTGAGAACCACAAGGACACACGAGGACCTCTCTCTAGTGAGCCCGCAGCCCCAGCACTGCGACCCCAAACTCCTAAAGTGAGCAGCCACCCCAAAGGAGAACTCGGCTGACTCTATGACGAAGCAGGCAGGAGGGTGGGGAGAAGGGTGGTGCTTGGTCAGCTTCCAAAAGGCAGCAAGAGGAATGGCAGATATGAGGAGGTGCTTCCCCTAACTGGGTCCTTGAAAAAGGCTTTGCTGTTGGAAGGCCCCTGGGATGAGGGCCCCCCCCCAATATGGTGCAGCAGCGCTGAGGTCTAAGACCCCAAAAATGAGAAGTCAGAAACGCGGACCCAGATGGGCAGACTGCTCCCTGAGTCCGGGCCTGAAGGATGGGAGGGAAGGCAGGGAAGGATGGGAAGGAGGGCAAGGAAGGAGGGCAGGGGAGACAAGGCAGGGTGGCCGCAGCTCCCTCTCGTCTTCCCTAGGCCGGGGAGCCTGCCCAGAAGGTACCTCAGCACCAGGTTATGTCCCAGATGGTACCCAACCCCTTATCAGATTTCAAAGGAATGTGGCTGGTTCCCAGGGGCCTCCATTCCCCCAGAATGGTGGCTCTGCCCTCCTCCTTCCTCTAAGGAACATTGAAGGTCTCCCTACCACTGGATTAAAGCCAAGTGATCTCCCCAGAAGAGGGTGGCCACCTGGCTCCCTGCCCCCACAGCCCACCTGGTGCAGTTGGAGGCCGCCCTCTCCTGGACTCTGGAGTCTCGGGACCACCATGGCAACGAGGCGGCCAGCTCTCCGGCTCAGGCTCGGCACTGCCTGAGTCCCCTGTTCCGGCCTCTGCCTCTACCCTCGCCCCCATGCAGCTGGTCAGCTCAGGGCTGGAGCTCTGGCTGGCTTCGGGTTTCAGTGGGGCCAGGCCTGCTGGGGCAGCCCTGGGAAGGGCACACTCCCCCTGCCTCTCATCCTGCTCAAGGTCGGCCGGAAGGACGGCTGTGGGCCAGGAGGCCCCAGTGGCTCCAGGACCCCAGGGGGAGCTGCTACCAGCATGCAGGCCCACCTCCCTGTACCCACCAAAAGGGGGGTCACTGCTGGCAAAGCCATTAGGGGGGCAGGAGAACCCAGCGTTTGGGGTACCTGGGCCCCTCAGGACCGAGGGCCCTGGGGGCTGGCTGGCAGGGGCAGGGCCCAGTAAGGGGGTCCTCTCCTCAGCCCTAACCCCAGTGGGGGTGGGCAGGATGGCTTCAGCCAGCTGCCAGCAACAGCTGCTGCAGACCCGGGCCCAAGCCATGCAGTGGCCACCCGTCCACCCGTCGCAGACACCGAGCACCCGGCCTCCTGGGTCAAGTGGCTGGCTGAGGCCTCTGGCTCATGCTGCCCCCTGCAGGTGACCTGACAGCTCTCCTCTTCCTGACAGTCCCTGGTTCTGGTGGGAGGGGGGAGGGGCCCGCAGTCTCCCAGAGGACAACTGCACCAGCAGCCCCAGGCCTCCAGCTCCACCACGAAGCTGGCAGGCTCTATCTTCCTTTCCCAGCAGCCCCTGCGCTGCCAGGACCAAACCAAGTCTCTCCCCCTGGGGAGAACAGAGCTGGCAGCAAGAGGCCGAAGGCCGTTCAGTTGTGGAGAAGGAACATGCCCAGCCTCGCCAGGGCACCTTCCCAGGGCCCCTGACCGGTTGCCAGGGCCCAGGCAGCACTGCTCCGGCATCCATGCAAACCAGGGTGGGGGCGGGGAGCCCGGCACACTTCAGGACCCCTCCCCTCCAGTCCTGTCCCAGGCGGCCCTGACGGCCAGGCACGCGGCAGGCCCTTGGCCTCTCCTCAGCCCCACCAAGGCTTCCAGTCCACACACACTGACCAGATGGTAAGAAGGGCCGGACCCAGGCAGAGCTCCTCTTATCCTGCCCTCTTCTCAAACACACGCTAACCCGCTGGAAAAGGGGGTGGGCCACAGCAGCCTGGCAGTGAGTGACCTGTGAGTAGCAGCATCTACCGTCCATCTCCATTCTGGTTCCCAGAAAGCCTGTGCTTGCTCTAGGTCCATCCCACAGCAAGTCCCTCCATCAGCTCAACTGGCCCATCTCACTTGAGGAAACAGAGGCCCCAGAGGCCAGTAAGCCAGCTGCCCCAGGACCCGGAGGAGACAGGCGGCCAAGCCACGTCAAGAAAAAACCAGGGGGGTGCCTGGGTGGCTCAGTCGTTGAGCGTCTGCCTTCGGCTCAGGTCATGATCCCGGGGTCCTGGGATCGAGCCCCGCATCGGGATCCTTGCTCCGCAGGAAGCCTGCTTCTCCCTCTCCCACTCCCCCTGCTTGTGTTCCTTCTCTCGCTGTGTCTGTCAAATAAATAAATAAAAATAATAAATAATAAATAATATTAAAAAAAAAAAGAAAAACCAGGTCTGTCAGGTGTCCAAACCCATGCCTCTGAGTGCCACTGTCCCAGGCTGCAGAACCCACCAAGCACACAGCATCTCTTCCTCCTCCAGGCCTCAGGCCTCAGGCCAGGAGGCAGATCTATCTCCAATCATAGTGCCCTCCCAACCCTCTACACCTCTGGGCCAGCATCCCCTCTTCTCATATCCCAGGGGGGAACCCCTAGGACCTGGGCTTTAGGGAAGGGGAAAAAAGTGGCCCACTGCAGAATGGGAAGGGGTTGCCTAAATTGCACACTGCATATACACAGCCCCAGTCCTCACTGGCTGGATCGGGATGAGGAGATAAAAGTGTACCCCTGGCCTGGCCTGGGAGCAAAGAGACCCCATGGGCAGCAGAGAGGAGGAATTAGAAAAGAAACTTAGGACATCCCAAGAGGCCTCTGTGTCTTCCCCAGCCTGGCATGGCCTCACTCAGTAGACTGTGCCAGGGCCAAGCCCCGCCCCAGTCAAGGCCTTGGCAGGTGAGGCTCCAACAGGAAGTAAGGCCCCAAAAGACACATCACCCCTCCCAGGAACACAGGGCTTCAGGGGAAAGGAGTAGGAGCAGGTAGGCAGCCTATGGAAGACCCTAATGATGTGGGCATCTGTCTCCTTCCTGTCCCCCCAGGCCAGAAACAGGTATGCAAGGTCTGAAGATAGTCCAGTGATCCTCAACTGGTCTACTCAGACCTCCCCACATTTAGAGCTTTAGGATTCTATCAGGGAGCTCCCCTAAGCCCTCAAGCTCCTCCCCAGTCTGCCAGCCCCCTTTTCTGCTCTGGGCCTCAACTCCAAGGAGCCCTCCCCTAAGCAGAAGGAACTTGACACACCACTGTGAACTTGAAAAACCTGCCTGTTCTCTTAACCCTAAAAGCAGCTTTATTCCCAAGAAGGTAACTGACCCTTGCCCCCGACCCCGAAAGGCCTAGATTAGCGCCTCAAAGGGACTGAAGAACCTTCAAGAGCTGGGTCCTAAGGGTCAGGAGCCTGGATGAGAACCTACTTGGGGGTCTCCATTAAGACCACACTCCTTCTTTGAACAGATTTAGGCTGGCTGTAATTCAATACCTAGCTATCTATACTAGCTTCCCAGAGACATAAGGAGCTAATGTCCCACCCGCTAGCATGCTCCCAGTTTCCCAAAAATGAACAGCTGTGCCCTTCCCCTGACCCAGGTTGCCCCAGACAGAGCCTCTCAGCACACAGCAGAGACAGGGCTTTACTCAAGTCTGAAGGGAAACCCTCCAACAGACTCTCCCCTCCTCACTCCCCATGTTCTCAACATAAACCCAAACCAACATGCCTGTCCTGGCTTCCTCTGGGGCAGGTAGGGGAAGCCTTGGCATGCTGGCCACAAGCTAGAAATCCAAATCCCACCCACCCCCCCGCCCCCGCACCCAGCTCAAGTGCTGTGTGACCTTGGGCAAGTCACTTTCTTCATGTCTTTTTGCTAGAAGGGAAATCAGCCAGACCCGACCTCCTCTTATCTAGCCTGCCCCACTGATTCAGAGCCACATCAGGGGAAAGCCTGGCAGGTTGGAGTCAAAAGTATCTGTTGTTCTGCCCAAACCTTGACCTTATCTAGGCAATCAGCAAAGCTGCCACAGTACCTACCACCAACACAAGGTAACTCTGCTGTGACTGACTGGGTCAGAGAGCCTCCTCCTAAATATTGTTCCCATCCTGACTCACCAAAGCCGGGAAGGGAGATGAAGATGACAAGTCCATGCTGAGAAGAGCTGGGGCGGGGGGGGCAGGTGGAAGACAGAGGTAGTTCTGCATTCCCACTACCAACCAGGCCAGAGGGGGACCACAGCCCAGGCCTGGGGCCCTGAGGATGATTTGGAGGTGACAACTGAGGCTCTGGGAAAGGGCTTCCAGCCTTAAGGCTGGAATCTAAGACATGAGTAAGGAACAGAGGAAGCCCAGGAGAGAAGGATGAAGCAGGCACCACTCCCAAAGCCACTGCCACATAGCCCCCACGGGGGAGAGTTGGGAGCTCCACTCCACACTGATGACCTTTGTCTTAAAAACAGCAACCCTGGGCTGATCCACTTTTCGCAATAAGGCGGGTTAATGATCAAGTTCTGGCACAAACACCTACTCCTGCCAAGGAGTTTGGCTTTGCCCCCACACGCAGGCAGACCCCCTAGGTCTGCAGATCAGGCCAACACCTAACAGGGAAGAGATAAGAGCCCGAACACCTGGGGTTAAAGCACTGCCTCTGTGAATGAACCAGACAAGCCCCCTCAGAATACACACAGCCAGCTCGCACTCTTCCCCACAGACCATGCCTGGGAGGTCCCAGGTTGAGCCTTACTCGCAGGACTGCAGTCCTGTACACAGGCAACGCTTGAGATCCTGACGCGAAGGGCGCCAGACCGAGCAAGTGTCAGTGACCCCAGCCCGGAGGGTTACCCATGCCCGCGCGCGGAGGGGGTGGGGCCACCGATTCCAGTCTGCGGCGGCGGCGCACCCCGAAACCGCGTGTGCGCGCACGTGTCCCCCCTACCGCTGTCCTCCCCGGGACCCCACGTGCGAAACCCAGGCCGAAGCCAGGGGCGACAGTGAAGGTGACCTTCAGGGCGGGGGCGGCCCGATGAGATGCAACCCGGCCCGGCGCGGAGGGAAAGCGGCGGTCCCTGCAAACCCCGAACCCGCGCGCCCACTCGGCCCGGTCCAGCCTCCCCGCCCGGCTGACCGCTGGCCCCGGCCCCGCTCACCGGCCGCGCCCGGCCGCCCCTTGCCACCGGCCTGCGAGCTGGGCTCCCGGGTGCCGTCGGCCGGGGCGGCCGCCGGCAACTCGTCCGTTTTGATGACCATGGCGGCGGGAGCGGGCGTCCGGCCCCGCTGTCCGCGCTGCCCGCCGCGCCACTAACCCAAGTGCCCTGCGCGCCGCGGCCGCTGCGGGAAGGACGGAGTCACCGGCCCACGTGGTGCGCGCTGTAACCTTTGACCCCACCGCCGCTTCCCCTGCCCCGCCCTCGCGCCCGGCCCGGCCCACGGAAGCCCGCGAGGGACAAAACGCACCGCGCTCGTTGGCCGTCCACCAAAGGCGGTGACTTTCCCAAACGCCTTAAAGGGAACGCACTGTGACTCAGGGTACAGGGAGGCTTCTGGCTCCCTCGAGGGGCGGGGCTCCGGAGAGACGTCCTCGCCGTTCTTAGTCGGTCCCGCGGGCGCCCTGACCTTGGGTGGAGACTGTTCGAGGACTGCCATTGCTCACCGTCCCTTCCCCCAGTGGCCCTCTGCTTCCTATTGCAAATCTGCCAAATGACCACGCGGTCTCTAATCTGCGGTGTCAGTGTGACACACAGCACCCTCCTTACCAGGCTCGAAAGGGTGGAGCTGGGGGGGGCGTCTAGCTTCTTGAGGAAGGGGTGCAGGGCAGCTAAAGGGGATGCAGTGTCAGAAATGGAGCCACCAAACTTTGCTGTGAGCTACAACCTGCTTCTCCCACCAGTGGCCTCGACATTCCCCTCCCCCCCATGGGTCCTTACTTCCAGGCTGGCACATTATCCCCATTTTTCAGTGAAGGAAGCTGAGACGAAAGTCACACAGAGAGCAAGAACTAGAGCTGAGTCAAGCTAAATCCACAGCCTGGACACTTTCCAGTCGTTCATTATTTTAGAAGTCTGGGTTTTGGTGGGGACTGAGAAGTGAGGTCAGAGAGAATGCTGCCCAGTTGACATTTTGCAGGTCTTGCCAGTGAGCTGACATTCTCCAGGCGGAGAGAGTAGGGAGGGTCTTTCATGCACAGGCCTGGGAATCGGGTAAGGCCTATTCCTGACATCTGCTAGGATCTGAATGGGAATTGGGAAGCTGAAACTGCAGAGGTAGGCTGGGGCGGGCCCTAGAGCCTCGTAAAAATTGCAAAGAAAAGCGGACTTTGTCCTGGAGTACAGGTGCTGGGAAGAGGAGCTAGTGAAAGTTTTTAAGCATTTAAGCAGGAGGAAGGGAGGTGAGAAATGCTCTGACTGGGGGCGCCTGGGTGGCTCAGTCGTTAAGCATCTGCCTTCCACTTCAGTCATGATCCCAGAGTCCTGGGAACGAGGCTCGAATCAGGCTCCTTGCTCCGCAGGAAGCCTGCTTCTCCCTCTCCCACTCCCCCTGCTTGTGTTCCCTCTCTCACTGTGTCTCTGTCAAAAAAATAAATAAAAATTAAAAAAAAAAAATGCTCTGGCTGCTGTGTGGGGGATAAGGGGACGCTGAACTAGACTAGGGGCAGATGAGTTTGGACCATTGCACAAGAAGCCTGGAAATAAAAAAAGACCTGACTACTGGGTATATAAGGAAGGCAGGCAGTCAGGAAGGTGTATAAACCTAATACTTGATTAGGTTGGAAATCTGCATCCTGCAACCTCTACCTTGTCTTTTTTTGTAACCTTGAGCAAGTCACTTTACTTCCACTCCACTAAATCTCAGGAGCATCATCTGTCAAATAAAAACACCCATCTGCCTAGCCTCTCACCTAGCTATTGTGAGGAGATAGTGGTCATCAAAGTACTTTAGATAGTGTGAAACTCGGTGTGATCTCAGTCTTTCTAGCACAGCTTGCAAAAAGCTCAGTGCTGCAGGAAGATCAGAGATATCAGACCCAGTCCCTGCCGGGAGAAGTTTCAATCTGGTGGATGAAGTGAAATGCACACAGCAACTTCATGTCCACGGCTACAGAATAAAAGTCTTTAAAGATGGCTGTTTTAAGTGTGCAGGGAGGCAGTCAGGGAGGGCTTCTGGAAAGAGGTGGCTCTGAACTGAGCTTCAAAGGGTAAGAATGATTTTAATGAGCAAGTCAGAGGAATTATATGGGCAGACACAGAAGGAAGGACTCTGGGAATTTATTCACTCATTTATTTTTTAAATATTTTAATTTTACCTAGAATTTTAAATAGGTAACACATTCACATGGTTCAAACTTCACAAAGTACAAAAGGATATACGGTGAAACCCTCACCTGCCCCAGCCACCTAGGTTCCCTCCCCAGATCACCAAGGTTACCAGTTCTTTTATACTCTTTGCATATAAGAGTGTGTATAAATATTTTCCCCTTTCGTTACACAAATGTCAACACACTGTACCTGCTATTCCTTACCCTGATTTTTTTTTTTTTTTAGATTTTATTTATTTATTTGAAAGAGAGCACAAGCAGAGGGAGAAGCAGGCTCCTGATGAGCAGGGAGCCTGATGTGATGCGGGGCTGGATCCTAGGGTCCCGGGATCATGAGCTGAGCCGAAGGCAGACTTAACCAACTGAGCCACCCAGGCGCCCCTCCCCTGATATTTTACTTAACAATACATTCTGGAGATTGTTCCCTATCAGTACACAAAGAGCTTTCTCATTCCGTTTTATGGCTGGATTATATTCCATTGTGTGATGGTACCATAATTCTTTTAACCAGGCTCCCAACTGATGGGTATTTTGTATCCATGAAACTCAAGGAATGTGGAGAATTGTACCTAGTCCAATGTAGCTGAAGGTAGAAGCCCCCTCCATGTTGGTAACGTTACTCATAACCAGAAACACAGCTGAGTTTTTTTTTTTTTAAGATTTCATTTATTTATTTGAGAGAGAGAGAGAGAGAGAGAAACAGCATGAGAGGGGAGAGGGTCAGAGAGAGAAGCAGACTCCCCGTTAAGCCGGGAGCCCAATGTGGGACTCTATCCCAGGACTCTGGGATCCTGACCTGAGTTGAAGGCAGTCGCTTAACCAACTGAGCCACCCAGGCGCCCGAAACATAGCTGAGTTTTTTGGGTTTTTTTTTTAATTCTTATTTATTTATTTGACACACACAGAGAGAGAGAGACAGCGAGAGAGGGAACACAAGCAGGGGGAGTGGGAGAGGGAGAAGCAGGCTCCTGGCTGAGCAGGGAGCCCGACGCGGGGCTCAATCCCAGGACCCCGTGATCATGACCTGAGCCGAAGGCAGACGCTTAACGACTGAGCCACCCAGGCGCCCCGACATAGCTGAGTTTTAACACTAGGAGCAGCAAGCCTGGTAATGGGGAAACAGATACACACAAAGAGCGTCATCCTCTGGCCACTTTCTCTGTAGTCTGGTGGTCTGACCTCCAGTAACATATTAAGCAGACAGTTTTTTGCTTTCAAGCTGCCTCCACCAATGTCTCTTCATCATGGTCTTTAAAAAAGAGAGAGAGAGATTCTATTTATTTGAGAGAGAGAGAGAGAGTACCAGCAGAGGAGAAGGAGGGGAGGAGCAGGGGAGGAGCAGGGAAGGGACAGGGGGAGAGGGAGAAGCAGGCTCCCCACTGAGCAGGGAGCCTGATGAGGGACTTGATGGGGGGGGGGTCCATGCAGGGATCCAGGACCCCAGGATCATGACCTGAGCCCAAGGCAGTTGCTTAGCCAACTAAGCCACCCAGTTGCCCCTCTTCATCATGGTCTTAAGAGCAATACAACCACCACTTTCCACAACTATTCCCACCAGTGCCTGTACATTGTGCCATGGATAAGGTGACTATGTCCGCCAAAGCAAGACACTTTTGAAAGCGGACACTAATTAATAATGGCATTGGGATAACGGGCATAAACTGAGTCTGTTTTGGCCACGCTGGCATGTCTGGTTCTCAGGTGAGAACGCAGGTGGCTGCTAGACTGGGGGTCGTCTTCTTCTTCTTCTTTTTTTTTTTTTTTTAAGATTTTATTTATTTATTTGACAGAGAGAGAGATAGCGAGAGCAGGAACACAAGCAGGGGGAGTGGGAGAGGGAGAAGCAGGCTTCCTGCCGAGCAGGGAGCCCAATGTGGGACTCGATGTGGGACTCGATCCCAGGACCCTGGGACCATGACCTGAACCGAAGGCAGGCGCTTAACGACTGAGCCACCCAGGCACCCCTCTTCTTCTTTTTTAAGATTTTATTTACTCATTTGACAGAGAGAGAGAGAGAGAGAGAGGGCACAAGAGGGGGGAGCGGCAGGCAGAGGGAGAGGGAGAAGCAGACTCCCCGCCAAGCAGAGAGCCCGACCCTGGGATCATGACCTGAGCTGAAGGCAGAGGCTTAACCGACTGAGCCCCCCAGGTGCCCCTAGACTGGGGGACTTCTTAAAAGCAAGGGCCATACCTTATTTATCTGGGAATCCCCGGCATCTTCCCAAAGCCTGAAGCATAGTAGGTGCTTCATGCACATTTGCTGGTTGAATGGATGAATCATATGTATAGAGTACCAAGCAGTCCTTTTGAGGGCTCCACAGGATGCTGAGGAGGGAGTGTTGTTAGCAATGCAGGGTTTCACCTTTGATCCCCATCATTATTTATAATATGTGGGCTTTCCTTGTAGATATCCCTTTTGTGAACTGTATGCTTTGACTCTTGTATCCAGAGCTTCAGATCATTTCCACAACGACTGGCTGAGACCCAGGCTGACCTTGGAGAGGTACCAGTCTGTACCCTACCCTGGCCCTTTCTCTCCTGTCCTCTTCATGGTCAGGAGCTGAGTGCCTACTGGTCAGCATGGGTGCTTGCGACCAATCTGTCCATGGGCCTAGTGACTAACCAGTCCCAGCAGCCTCAAAACCTGCAACTTAGCTTCCATAGATCCTCTTCCCCTTTCCCTAGCAGGCTCCTGTTACATGCTTCCCAACCTCAGGGCTGCCCTGGTGACACTCCTGAGCATCTCAATTTTCCCATCTTTAGGGCTCCTGGGTAAAGATGCTAACGAAGTATGAAGGGAGGTTTATCAAGGCTGAGACCTAGCCTACATAATTAGCCTATTTAAAGCCTCCCACCTCCCTAATAAGTGTTAGGATGAATACACCCACTCAGCTGGGCATTCCTATTCCCCCCTCCTTTTCAGAGTTCTCAAGGATTTGGAGAGGTGAGCAGGAACCCAGACTCCTGGATTGCAGGAGGGAGTCCCCCTATCTTACTGGCTTGACTCCAGGGACCCATAAGAGAGGAAATGCTCCATCTCCCTCAACCCCAAACCTGTGTGGGCAGAACTGCCAGGAGGGAAGGAATGACAGTCCTAGAGATGCCCTGGGCCTCAGTCTCCCCATCTGTAAAATGAGGGGGTTGCCTACATGATCTCTGAGTTGTCTGGTGCTGACATTGCATATCTCCACCCTGTACTATGTCTCTGGGCTGGGTTCAGCCAAGCACCCCTTGAGGTTTATGAGGGGACCCTAAGGCCAATTCCCCCTGTCTCTTCCACTTCTCTCCTTTTTCTTGAATTGAACATGGGACCCCAGAGTCTTGGGCGGATCTTTATCTGGGGCTGGGCCTTCCCTCTCCTAGCTGCCCCAGGAGATAAAAGATGATGGACAAGCAGAAGCCTGGGCCATACTTCTCAGAATGGGAATTGCTACAGGTCTGGTCCTTGCCCATCCTGGGCTCAAATCTGATCCCCAGAGGCTGAAGCAAGAAGCTGAGATGGGGCAGCTGAGGCCTGCCTGCTCCACCTGGATATCCCAGGTAGGAATCAATACACGTGACTTCAAGTCCAGCTCCATCCCTGACTCCTTCACTACAACTTCCTTACTTACCTTGAGTAAGTCACTTCTCTTTTCTTGATGCCGACTTCCCAGGGAGGAGCGTCACAGGCCAGGTGTAGAAGCTATCCCAGATCTATAGTCAAGCTCAGATATCACTGTATGTGTTAAACTCCTCTTTAGTCTTGGCTAGAAGTGGTTATCCCCTCCCTAGAGCTCTGCAAATATTGTATTTAATGTCAATTATTGGTTGGGGTCCACTTGTTTTCCCCCCGCTGATTGTTCTTGGACATCATCATGACTCTTGGGATTAGCAAGCCAGTAAAACCAAACTTAAAATGGCTTTAAAAAGTATGTCATAGATTGAGAAGACTAAGGAAAGATAACTAAATGCAATGGAATCCTGGAGAGAACACCTGGAACAGAAAAAGGGCATGGGTGGGAAAACTGGTGAAATTCAAATGAGGTCTGTGGCTTAGTTAATAGTCATGTACCAGTGTCAATTTTTTGGTTTTAATTGTATCACAATAAAGTAAGATGTTTATATAGGGGGAAGCTGGGTAAAGGGTATACCAGAACTCTGTATTATTATTTTTTTAAAGATTTTATTTATTTATTTATTTGAGAGAGAGCGAGAGAGGGAGAGAGAGCACAGAGGAAGAGGGAGAAGCAGACTCCCCGCTGAGCAGAAAGCCCGATGTGGGGCTCGATCCCAGGACTCTGAGATCAAGACCTGAGCTGAAGGCAGACACTTAACTGACTGAGCCACCCAGGAGCCCCAAGGAACTCTGTATTAATTTTGCAACTTTTCTCTAAGTCTAAAATTAGTTCAAAAAAATTAAGTTAGGGGCGCCTGGGTGGCTCAGGCGGTTAAGTGTCTGTCTTTGGCTCAGGTCATGATCCCAGGGTCCTGGGATGGAGCCCTGCATTGGGCTCCTTGCTCAGTGGGGAGCCTGCTTCTCGCTCTGCCTGCCACTCCCCCTGCTTGTGTTCCCTCTCCCTCTCTCTCTCTGACAAATAAATAAATAAAATCTTTTTAAAAAATGCACAAATTAGGGGTGCCTGGGTGGCTCAGTCATTAGGCATCTGACCTTTGGCTCAGGTCAGCATCCCAGAGTCCTGGGATCGAGCCCCGTGTCGGGCTCCCTGCTCAGAGCGAAGCCTGCTTCTCCCTCTCCCACTCCCCCTGCTTGTGTTCCCTCTCTCGCTGTCTCTCTCTCTGTCAAATAAATAAATAAAATCTTTAAAAAAAATACACTAATGCTGACCACTTAAAAACAAAAGTATGGGAGGAGGAGGGGGTTTATTGGTCCACATAACTGAGCGGGGCTGGGGTATATGGAATGCAGGCAAAGCTGGATCCAGCAGCTTAATGGTCAGGAATTATCTCCATCTCTCCTGCTTTTGCTTCTGGTGTGATAGCTTCGTATTCAGGCAGCCCTATCTCTTGTGGTGGCAAACAGCCTGCCACACTTCTAGGCTGATATTCTGCCATTTTAGCCGCCCAAGAGTTTGTATTTCTCAAAAGTCCTGTTTTGTTCACTGATGTATCCCTAGCCTCCAACTTGGTGTGTTGAATGAATGGCTCCAGCAAAAGTCCTGAGACTGGCTCTCACTGGTTCAGACTGAGTCGTGTGCCCACCTTCAACCCAATCAGTGTGACTTACTTTACCTGGGTCACATGGGTAGAATCAGCTCCCCACCCCCTCAACGCGGACTGAAATAGAAGGGCAGTTCCCCAAAAGGAAACAATGGATCCTAGTATCAGAGGGGTAGCTGGCAAACCAATATGTCCCCCAAATCCTTAGAATGCAGGGCTACTGCTCTTTCTCCTAGAGTCGTCCACAACATAGACCTACACTGAAAATGTACAGGCTTAAATTCTTGTGGGTGCTGGGTGTGCTGAGCTCCTTAATTGCAGCCTCAGCATAACCCTCACTAACGGTATATAAGAATAGGGCTTATTTCTGGGATGCTGGGCTTCTTGCAGCTGGATCAGATGGGCTTGGGGGTCAGGTAAGGGAAACCAGCATGGCCAAAGATGCCAGAACCCCAGGATTCCTTCCTGGCCAAGACGATGGGCAGTTCCAAGCCTGGAGCCCTTCTAGTCTCTCTCTCCCAACCCTAGCCAGGAGCCTCAGATTCAAGGTCTCATTTGTTCATTTGGATTGGGGCGGCATGGGGAAAGAGTCAGGGCTAGCCTGAACATTGGGACAACTCAGATGAGTGCCTTATGCCTTGTGAGGAATATCCAGTAGAAGACTCCAGAGTCTCAGCTCCCAGTCTCACCCAACCCATCAGCTGACTCCCAAACCACTCTCCATGTCTTCCACATCTTCTCCCACACCTGCAGGAACAGAGGTTGGAGTAGGGCAGAGTGCCCACAGAGAAGAGGTCTGACTTGTGTGTTTTTCAGATATTTTATTAAGAATAAGGCATATGACAGTCACCCCTAAAGCATAGGGCTCTATTTCTGTGGGTGAGTGAGTACACTCTGAAAAGCATTGGATTAAAAAGCACAGCCAACAGAGAATTTGGAGCAGGATCCCTCTGCCCCACCCATGGAGCTCCTGCCAGGTGGTTCGGAAGCCCTGCATGTCCCCCATTCAAGGCTGGCACCTCAGGGAGAGAGTGCTCAGGGATCCCCAGCTCTCTGCACTAAAGAGATGCTGTTCCACACCCTCCTGGCCTCCTTCCTCTCCATTGGGAGACCTCTATTCTGCTGCTGACTTGGGGAAGTTCTACCCCATTTCAGCCCTGGAGTGGTCCCCCAAACTGCAGACCACTGTGGGTGGGATATGGGGGGCAGGGGTACGGAACCTCATGCTGAATTGCCCACTGGTCCCTGGCTGGCTTCCAGAACAGGGAGGGGTCCCCACCTGCAGCTCTCCTTCCTGGGTCTGTCCACACTTCGGGTGTGGCTGGACCTCCACCTAGGGCAGAGTGTTCTTGTCAACATGCCCCTCCCCCAGTGGGGATTTGTGCTGCCGAGAAGAGGGGAGGAGGGGAGAGGAGACACAATCCTTTCTATTCTAGTCACCCAGACGTTCCAGGGGGTTATGGGAGGGGGCTCTTTCCTTTGGCAGTGTGGGTCCCCCAGGCCACAAGAGGGAGAGGGCTGGAGGCTAAGGAATTTGGGGCTCCTGAGGCCAAGGGCAGGCTACTGACTCCCAGTCCCATTCTGCTGCACTGAGGGTTCTGTTCCAAATCCCAGGGGCGGGTGGATAGAGGGAAGTCTTTAGTCCTTTATTTCTAGGAGAAGAACGGGGAAGAGGAGTTTGTTAAAACAAAACTGGAAACCTCTATCTGCTTCAGCCCCTCTCCCAGCTTGCTAAGTGGAGGAGGAGGGCGGTTGGCTCATTTCCTTTCCCAGACCCTCAACACCTCAGGTGAGAGTCAGCAAGTCAGCCGCCCCAGCACTCTCAGAACCTTTCATCTGGGGGATCTCCAAGCACCCCACAAATAATTGTCATTATCGCTGGTCGCTTGGAAGAGGGATAGGAGTTCGGAGGTGCTGACGGGGTCATTTGGGGAGAGGCAGGCGGGCCACCGGAGGCTCCCTGGGGTAGGGGTGTGGTAGAGGCCCCCAGCTAGATACCCTGGGTCCCCAGGAGGGGAGAGGGGAAAAGGGCTATTGCTATAGAGCTGGGGGGAGGCCAGGCGGGCATAGCTATGGCTTTTAATAGGTGGGTGGGTGGATAAAGTATGTCACCCTCTCTGTCGAAGAACCAACATAACAAAGTCACCCTGTTTACCCCAAAAGTGTGGCTGTGGAAGCTCAGGGTCTGGGTGGGCTGCTGCAGAAAGACACCCTTTCCCTCCTTCCCACACAGTCCTTTGGCCCCCTTCGAAAGAGTGCAGACAAGAGAGGAGAGAGGTGTCCTCACAAAGACACCTCTGGAAGGGAGGCAACAGGACCAGGGGTACAGTGTATCACACACACCTGAGGGGAGACAAGGAGGGCAGAGGCACAGAAATGGGGCGGGAGAGGAGGGTAAGAGGCCAGGGCGGGCAGAGCAAGGACCCCAGGCCACCACCACTGTGGCCCAACTTAGACTGAGAGAGAGAGAACACTGTCCCAAGAGCGTCCACACCTTGGTTGGACACCCGGATGAGGCCTGGTTATTGCTCAGTGGTCTCAGCAGTCCTGAGCACAGTCAGCTGGGGGAGGACAGCATATTTGTGGGGGCTGGGAGTGTGCTCACTGGTTTTGCTTCTTGCCCGTTGATTTTCCACACCCTCTGACCTACACAGCGAAAGGGAACACGATTGCGGGTTCCTCCGATTCATTACAGGGACCATGATGGGAGAAAGGTTCACCACCCCTAGAGATGGACTCTGCTCATCTCCCAGACCCTGGGTGCCACACAGAATGCTCGGCCTCAGCCAGGACAAGACCTGCCAGGATGCGCTATCCGTGAGTGAGGTAAAGGCCTCTCCCTGCCCCCCACTCTCCCTCAGCAGCCCCTGGAAGACCTCACAGGCACTTAGGACTCAATGCAGGACCAACAGAGGAGGCATGGCATGGGGGGAGGGGCTCTAGGGTTTGTCTTTCTAGGGGCTGGGCTTGCGGTGGGGGCCACTTGCTGCACTGGACCCGCACTCTGCCTTTGGTCAGGAGAGGGCAGCTGGGGAGAAAGTAGTTAGGACGTGGGGTGTCCCACTTTCCATTTCACCACTCCCCATCCTAGACAGAAGGGTTACTCTGAGCATAGGCCACTGTCACTTCTGGTAAGACTGGGGGCCTCCCTGGAGGGGACCAGCCTGGGGACTAACCTGTGCTCCTACCTCCTCCCTCAGCAAACTCAAGCCTCTATCCACCACTGCTACTTCCAGGAACCTGGCCCTTCTTCCCACCTCCGGGTGCAGCTGGGCAAAATTAGCACCAATAGACAGGCCTAGGAAAGCTCCCAAGGCAGCCTTCACGTTCCCAGCTGCCTCCAGCAGGGGAAGGCAGTTTCTGCCCTTCCAAAGCCTGACGTGGGGGGCGGCTGACTCGGCCATGTCCCCCTTGCTTCCCTAGCACAGCTCCCGGCCGAAATCCTTAGGTGGGCGTCCTGGGGAAGAACTGAACTGGAGACAGCTTTAGACCAGGTTCTGCCATCGAACCCATTCTGTACTCCTCTCCAGAAGTTCAAACCTCCATCACGTCACACTTTCCCTACCAGGGACACTGGCAGGAAATGCCTTTAAAGAATTGGGTGCTCTCCGGTAAGGACCTATCAGCGGGGTAGGGGTCGGAAAAGCGGCGTCAGAGGAAAAAGGTCCAGCCGCCAGCCCGGAGCCCGAAACTCCCCTCGAAGGCAGGCTTGGCGGGAAGCGCAGCCGTGCGGGAATGGGGGAGGGCCGACAGGGGAGCTGGAAGGCCTAGGGGTGCTAAGTGCCACTGCGTTCCTTTCGTAGGCCAGCCCAGCCTTCCCCCTCGCGTCGCGCGATTGTGCGCTTTCCCCGGACAGGGCGCGCCCCCCCGCTCCCTCCCCTCCCTGCAGCAGATAAGCCTCCGTACTGCGAGTCCCCGCCACCAAAGAAGGTGCACTCTCTCAGCCCCGCCGAGGAGCCCCCTCGGGGCAGGACAATACAAAAAGCCTGGGGCGGTTGGAAGGGGTGGGGGTGGGGGAGCTGGGGCCGCCTCCGCTCGCTCCCGCGGCCCCCCGGGGCCTGCCTGCGCGGGCCCACGCTGCGTCCCTAGCCGGAGGCCGAGCCGGCCTTCCCCACTCCCCGCCCCGCAGCCCCGCGCCTACTCCGGCTCCCCGGGAGCGCTGGGCGGGCTGGGCGCGGCCGGCGGGCCGGCTTGGTCCGGGGGCTCCTGGGGAGGCGGCTGGCGCGGGCTGCGGCCGCTCGGCCGCGGGGGCCTCCGGGCGTAGAGGAAGAGCGCGGGGTCGGGCATGGGGTCGACGTCGTCCAGGGCGCGGGCCGCGCGCTCCCAGGCGGCCCAGTCCCGGCCCGGGCCCTTGGCGGCGGCCTCGGCGGCGGGCGGGCGGCGGACCCGCTGTGCGCGCCGGCGGGGCCGGGGCTCGGCGGCGGCGGCGGCGGCGGCGGCGGCGGCGGCGGCGCCCGGGCGCGGAGTCTGCAGTCTCTGGCGCGCCGCGTGCAGCTGGCAGGAGAGGTAGGCGGCCGCCTCGGTGTGCTTCTGCAGCTCGGTGCCCAGCACGGTGGCACGATGGCTGCGGCGCCGCAGCTCCTCCAGGAAGCGGCGCTCCTCGGCGCGCAGGCTGCAGCGCAGCGCCGACACCAGCGCCTCGCGCTGCGCCACCTCCCGCCGCAGCTCGGCGTTGGCGGCCATCCGCGCGGCCAGCTGCGACTCCAGCGCGCGGCACTTGCTCTCCAGCTCCCGGGACGCCGCCTCTGCGGGGGGGGGGGGGGGGGGGGGGGAGGGAGATGGACAGGAGAGGTGATGGCCTCCGCCTGGCCGACCCGCACAGCTCGCCGAGCCACGTTACCGAGCCCCGCACTCCCTCCCCACTCCTCCGCTACGCTGGCCTTCCTTTTCTCTGCCTCAGGGCCCTGGCACCTATCCTACCCTCTGGCCTCTCTAATTCATCAGGCTTCAGCTTAAATGCAAACCCCTCCCTGACCATTTATGCACCCCACAAATATCTGTTGAACCCTTAACTATATGCATTGTGCTAGGCATAGGGGATATGGTGGATAATAAAACATTCCTCATGAAGCTTACAGCAAGCATAGTGGGAGAGGTATGATACATAATCACAAATGACTGTGAGGTTGCATCTGTGACTTGTGCCAGTGCCATGACTCACAGGAGACCTAACCAGGCTTTGCAACAGAAGAGCACTTAGGCTAGCAGGAGTTGGAAGAATGAGTTGGAGTTAAGCAGTGAAGAGCTAGAGAGGAGGGTGCTTTGCACAGAGGAACATGTCTCCCAGGGGAGGAGAGACATGCAACAGTGAGGGACTGAAAAACCTGGGACCTGGGAATGTGGGCAGGAAAGGGGAATCAGCTGCCTTGGAGCTTGCTGTTTCTTTCCTAGAGCATTTGCTACATTTTGTAATTTATGTGTGTTACTTATTGTTTGCCTTTGCCCACTGCACTGAGTTTCAACACTGGACATAATACATTGACCACCCAGAGAGCTTTAAAAAATCGTTTCCTGGGCCCTAACAAAGACCAATTGAATCAAGATCTCTGGGATTGGACCTGGGAACTGGCACCTCTTCAATGTGCCCAGGTGATTCTAATGTACCCGCAGAGTTGAGGACCCCTGTCTCCCGGATCATGAGCTCCATTTCAGCAGGGAACATATCCTGGGATTAACACATGTGTGTGATTGTAGTGACAGAGATAGCTGAAAGGTGACAAAAGGTAGGCAAAAGGTGACTCCGGAAAGGATATGAAAAATCAGCAAGTGGTAGGGGGACAAAGAAAGGGAGCTCAAATCCACTGAGCGAGAAGATTAAAAAAAAAAACAAAACAGGACACTAACTAACCCTTGAGCTCAGATGACCCCAGAAATTCTTTCAGAGGAAGGATAGTAGGTGGGGTGAAGGTTACTATTGTTACAGAACTGGTGTTTGGGATGTATGCCCCCTTCCTCCAAGTACCGAGGCATGAAGAGGCTGCCCCTGGTTGCCACTTAAAGAAGTGGGCAGAATTCGTTCAAGTCTATAAATGTTTAAATCTTTATGTGTGAATATGCAAAGCAATTTGTAGGGCTCTCAACATTTTACCTTAAACTTCAGCTTTCTCCATGCCTAAGTCTTGGTCATGTATATCGTTCTTGATCTATAAGCAGCACATCGATGGCAGGGAGTCCATTCCCTGCTAAATTCCTCCCGGCTAAGAAAGACTGCATGGTAATTCATTTTAAATTAAGCATTTACCAAGTCCCTCTTCATGTCTTGCACCGGGAGACAATGGATGACACCCAGTCCCAGTTCTCAGAGATCATATAATTTTGGTGATTAAGATCTCACAATGGAACCCCTCCCCTTTAAAAAAAGTTTTAATTGTAGCAAAAACCAAATAACATAGAGTTTACCATCTTAACCATTTTTAAGTGTACAGTTCAGTAGTTTTAAGTAAACTCATATTGTGCAACAGGTCTTTAGAACTTTTTTGTTTTGCAAAACTGAAACTCTATGCTCATTGAACACCATCTCCCCCCACCCTCCATTTTATGGGTGAAGTAATAATCTGTAAACAAATATTTTAGCGGAATTGCTACAATGGCAAGAAGTCCTGCTTTTGTAAAATGAAGGATTTGCTGATGTACATGTGTTTCTTTTTTCTCATCTAGATGAAGTTCCTTCAAGTCATGGACTCCATATTGCCATTGTGTTGCATCTCAACAGTTAGCATCTTGGACGGTGTGGACACTGACCATGGAGATCACTTGTGCAAGGATGGGAAAGATTAGGGAGGTAGGTCATAGAAAGGAGTAAAGTCGACGAGATGGACTTCCTGGATACCATATCCTTCCTGCGTTCATTTTCCTACTTTGGACAGAGACACGGATACAAGGTATGGTGGTGCAGGTTGTTCATTGTACAATGTCACCCAGATGAGTAGGTAAATGGGGCTGACATCCTACACTCTGTTTAACAAGCTGAAGAGTGGCTGTCCCCCATGTCTGGACTGGGGACAGAGAAGGCTTGGGTCCTACTAAGTGGTGGGTAAAAGATGACCTGTTGGGCCCACATGGCATTTCCCCACCAGTCATCCTTCTCTTACCTTGCTGATGAGACTGGGCCTCTCTCATCTCCAGGTCACGAGTCAGTTCTGCGGGGAGGAGAGAAAAGAAAAGGCAGTCGTGTGTGTGTGTGTGTGTGTGTGTGTGTGTGTGTGTGTGTGTGTGTGGTGTATGAGAGAGACATACGGAGAGAAAGAGAGAGAGGGAGGGAGAGAGATCAGGGAATCACAACTCAGTAAAAGTGGCAATATTAGCATCCTTAGAAGCCATCTAAACCACCTCCCATACCTATTTTACTGTGGTTCAGTGAGGGAAAGAGATGAAGAGAGGTGCAAGGCACAGCCTGAGCCTGACTGGCCTGATTCTAAGCCCAGAGAACTTTCTAGTGCAAGCGCCATGGGCTGCGTTTGGAGGTTAGTTCAACCCTTGCACTGAGGAGCCTGGCTTGCTTTTGGGGCTGGGGGAGTATTTGCTCCTTCCCAACCGTGATCTACAAATATCTAAAGTGACAGCCAATCAGAGCCACTCTGGAGGACCCCTGCTGTGCAGGGCACAGCCCCGTTAGGGTTTAGTTGGTGGATGTGGGAAGGCTGGAGGGTCCTGGGCTGCTTGGGGACCCTGGAGCGGGACTCAGGGCAGTAGCTATTTACCAATAGGGTACATGCGTTTCACTGTTTTCACAGCCAGTACTGCTGTGCCTGCGTTATTTTCTGAACATCAGCCCTGCTCCTTTCCAAGCCCTGTTTTCCGCCATGTTTCACAAGGCAAGGAGAGGGGCCTTAGGGAGGACAGCGCCACCTGGTGATGGAAGGCCTACATGGCACTTGCCTTGGAGCTGAGGGGGCGGGGTCAGCCCGCCAAGGGTGCTGATGTTAAGAGAGGTTTCCTCCTGGGTGCTGGCAGCCGAGCCACCACCCTTGTGCCTCCCTGTCTTCCCAGTCCCCATTCCTTACCGCCCAGAATGCCCCATCCCTCGGCCAGCTGAATTTGATCATTTTTTTCAGCCCCACCCCAACTCCCCCAAATCCACCACAGCTCAAGAGCTGGGAAAAGGGCAGGAGGGAGCCCGGCAGCAGCTGATGACAGAGGGCATCTCCTCTGGAGCAAGTGTGTGTACTTGCAGGGATGCGATCTGGTGCCTAAAGGGAGGAGGTGTGAACCTGGGAGTGGGATAAGGTAGCAAATCTCTGGGATCAATGCCCAGCAGCACCTAGAAAGTCTAGCCTTATGGGCCCTCTGTCTGCCCCTCCTCACTGGCTCTTCCCTTGGGAGGCCAAATGTTGCTAGGAGACCGAGAGCCAGGGTACCTGGGCCTTTTGCTGTGACCTGAGTCTGAACCTCCTTCCTGGAGCCCCAGGGAGGACCCTGATGCCTCTATCCTCCAGGGCTTCCTGGAGCCAACTTGGCCCCTCCTGCAAGGCCCCTGGGTAGCCCAAGGGATCTGGCTCTGCCAGTACCTCCCAGGGGAGTGTTTTCACCCTTAATCAGGGAAGTTGGGGGAGGGGAGATAGACTCCTTAGTTGGGCTCCACTCCCCCCATCCATCAGATCTCCCTGCCCATCTTCTGGCCAGAGTCCCCACCTTTAGAAGAGCATGCAGTGAGATCAGATACCCTATGTGACCTTGAGCCAGGAATGGGACCTCTCTGAGCCTCAGTATTCTCATCTGTGAAATGGGGACAAAATCACACCTGCCTCTCAAGGGGCTATTGCTAGGATTAAATTAGAGAAAATAAACAGAGGGCCCAACCCAGGGCTGAGTAGGTGCTGAATACATGGGGCAGTTCTTGTTATCATCCAGGCTGCCCCACCACCCAGAATACACCCACCCATCTCTTAAACCTCTTCAGTCTGAATGGCACCCCTTGTTTGCAGGCTCTTTCTGAAGCCCTGCCCGCTTGGTTCCTACACTAGTTCATCCCCTCTCCCATCCCCTTCTCAGCCTCTGAGCCCCGGTTTATTTTATTTATATATATATTTTTAAAGATTTTATTTATTTATTTACTTGTTTATTTGAGAGAGAGAGAGAGAGAGAGAGAGAGAGGCCTCAAGCCAGGGGAGAGGCTGAGGGAAAGCCCTTGCGGGGCTCGATCTCCAAACCCTGAGATCATGACCTGAGCCAAAATCAAGTTGGACACTCAACTGAACCAATTGAGCCATCCAGGCGCCCCTATATATATATATATATATATATATATATATATATATATTTATTTATTTTATTTTTTAAAAGTAGGCTCCATGCCCAACAAGAGGTTTGAACTCACAACCCTGAGATTAAGAGCCAGGCGCCCCTCTGAGTCCCTGTTTAATCTCCTTGAAAAAATCTTTGTTCTGCTCCCTTCCCCTCACTCCTCCACCCCTTGGAAGAAGGGCCTTACTCAGTTATTTCAGCCCCAAGAGTGGCTGTTCCAGGCCAGCCCAGAGTTATTTTTATCTCCTTAATCAATAACCAAGAGGCTGCAGTCCCATACCCAGCTGGAAAGGGTGGTGGGGGCTGTTCCAGCCCTATCACACTTTCTTGGGATCCTGGCCTATGTCCTGAGTGGAAGGACCCAGGTCTTCAGAATTAGGGCAAAGCAAAAAGAAACTAGAGCAAGAGCTGTAGGGTCTTAGGGTACACTCATTCTGATTTTCCTTTCATGTTGCCACTGCAATGAAAAAATGCATCAGGCAAGGGCATCAGGCAGTTGGTGTGGACCATCCCTCCCCCCTGGGCTGGCCTCTTCTGCCATCCCGGCTTCAGGGGAGATTGCAGGGAGCCTGGCCTAGGAGTGTAGCTGCTGAATCTGTATATGGAGCCGGAGGAGGGTGTGGTGGTGGAGAGTCAGGACGACCAGCGTCGCATGCCACAGAACGAGAAGCCAGGCAGGTCCCTCAGTTTCCCTCTAGAGAATGGGGGGCCTCCCATGAGCAGAGGCTGGAAGGGAGGTAGAAGTCAGAGCATCTTGGGGAGGGAGTGTGCAGAAAGCTGCAGAGGCATGCACAGATGAGAGTCTGGAGCTCTGGGTTCTAATCTTGGCTCTGTCACTAGCATATTGTGTGGCACTCTCTCTCTCTCTCTTTGGATCTCAGTTTACCTACTTGTATAATGAAGATGTTGGGCTGTTCCAACTGACACATTCTATGAGTCATGGACTCTAAAGCCTGTACTTGGAGACTCAGCCTGGGTGAGCACTTGGGCCAGAGCCCAGCCTCTGAGAGGGCCAGGCAGCTGAAGCCTGAGGTCCAAGAGCAGAGATGAGGCCTGGGATTTGGCTTCATTCTTGGTGCCTCCTTCTGTCTTGTTCACAAATCCAATCGGTTGCCACGTCCTTCCCTTCACCCTGTCTCCCACCAGTCTTCCCCTTTCTACCCCTTTCATCTCTCCCCGGACCATTTCATCGGCCCCATCACTAGCCTCCTTGTCTCCCTTCCCCTCCAATTCATCTTTCATACAACTGCTAAGTTTGGAGTTTCGTAATGCAGCATGATGCTCTTCAGAAACCTTCAGTGGCTCCCCACTCCCCAGGAGGACAGGCCAAACTTCTCAGCTGTCCTGATACTTGTCAGGGTCTCCCATGAGCTGCCCCCCACCCCTCCCCCCAACCCCCCATCCCTCCAGCCTCACCTGAACAGCGTTTCTGCAGCCTCAGGATTTCCAGGTGCAGGTCTCGCAGCAGGGCCATCTGCTCCTTTTTCAGGAAGCTGATGTGGCGTTGCACACTCTGGATCTGATGCTCCAGGGACACGGTATCCATGGCAACCCAGGCCTGGGCCCCGCCTGGGGGGAAGATGATAAGGTAAACCCACATCTTGTGGGCCCATCTGCCCCGCCCACCCTCAGATCCCTCAGAGTCTCTCGCAGTCGGGGCTCCTGTCGCCACCAGGCAGACAGTCCTACGGCCGCACTCATTTCCCCCGTGTTTACTCACCAAAGCGTCACGCATGTGTTGTCAGGGAAGTATAGTTATTCCCATTTAACAGATGAAGAACCAGAGGCCTGGAGGGAAATGGCTGCATGCCCCTGCCTGCATGTAACTTTAGCCTATCTGCTTCTTAGAAAGGAGCACGAATGAAGCCGCAAAGTCAGTGAAGAGAGACAGAGGCAGGCTGTAGCCTGCTTCCTCACCAGCTCTGGGCAAGCCCTCTCCCTCTCTGGGCTCTTGGTTTTCTCGTGCCTAAACTGAGGGAGTTATGGAGTGGAAAAACCCATCCCGCCAGCATCCCAGGTCAAGGGTGCCCACCAGCTGGTAGACTGGCATGATGGTTAGAGCACACCCTCTCCCAGTTCAACTCCATTTCTCCGACTTAACCTTAACTCAGGACTCTGGGCTCCTCTAGGTCGCAGAGGAGGAGGATCTGATGAATAGTCTACTAACACCAACTCTATGGGCTGAAGGCAGGTGGCAGAGTCCCTTTTTGAAAGAGGAGTGGCTGGCTCAGTTGGTAGAGCATGCGACTCTTGATCTCGGGATTGTGAGTTCGAGCCACGTTGGGTGTGGAGATTACTTCAGAATAAAATCTCCAAAAAAAATAAAAGAGGAGTGGGAGAGGTTGATAAGGAGACCCATGCAAATGAATCCATGAATCACATAAGACACTGTGAAGGGAGGGGAGCTCTGCGCCCCCGAATCCTAACGGGGCCCTGGCTTTGCAGCCCTCCCCCTTTTGACCCCATCCCTTTCCCAGGAGGTCCCTCCTGTGATGATCACCGTCCTGGAGAAGCATAAGCAGAGGGCAGCAACAGGAGGCAGAGTTCATGCCTTTTCTGCCAGGGACTCGCTAAGCGTTTTTTTTTAATTTAATTTTTTTATTTATTTGAGACAGAGAGAGAGAGAGAGAGAGCGTGCAAGTGGGGGGAGGGGCAGAGGGAGAGACTCTTCAAGCAGACTCCCTGCTGAGTGCAGAGCCCAACACAGGGTTCCACCCCATGACCCCAAGACCATGACCTGAGCCAAAACCAGGAGTCTGACGCTCAACCGACTGACCCATCCGGGCACCCCTCTCCCTAAGCTTTTGAAGGAGCTGTTTCTACCTGCCCCAGGAATTCCCTGGGCTGTGGAGAGAGAGGCCAGTTGATGGACCGCTCTCTTCAGCAAATGGTCCCCTCCAGATTGACTTCGATGTAAGTCCCTGCAAATCCAGATTTTCATTTGTAGGGTCGCATCAAGCATGTGCACCTGAGAAACTCACATTCATAGGTTGGTCTCTTGGGCTCCCTTTCCTTGTACTCCCTTAATCCAACCAAAGAGGCCTTTCATTTCAGCAGGGGGTGGCCCTTTGGCCTGTGGGAACCACTGGCTACATTTGCTGACCATCTGCTATGTTTGGGAACTTTATACACGTTATCTTACTTCTGCTAACCACTCTTCAGTAAATATTACCACCCCCATTTCACAAATAAAGAAACTGAGGCTCAGAGCTGAAGTGATTTGTGCCAGTTCATATGGTAAGTGGTGGCAGACCCAATTTTCTAACTGAGTCTTTTGAATCCAAAGTAGGTTCCCAGTATCACACTGAAAACAGTCCTGGGTTTGAATCCTGAGTCTTTTGGTTACCTGCTGTGTGACTTTGGGCAAGAAAATTAACCTCCCTCAATCTTTTTTCCCTTCTCTGTAAAATGGGGCTAATGGTAACAGTCTTAGGAGAGTTGTGAGAATTAAATGAGATTAAAAAGTTCAGAGCACTTCTCTGTCTAGTGTGTGAGTAGGTTACTCCTTGTCTTGATTTTCTCATTTATTCATTCATACATTCAATGATCTACTTATTGCCAACTATGGGGCTGTGGGAGACACAGTGATGAACAAAACAAAATTCTTGCTCTCATGGAGCTCACAGGATGAAGAGAATCAAATAAATAAATGCATCAAACAAATAATAATATAAATAAGTATACAATTATAATCTGCGAAGAGCACCATAGAAGAAACATATAGGGTAATGTGAAAGAATATAAAGTGGGACCTATTTTAGATTTGGGGCCAGAGAAGGTCTCTTGAAGGAAGTGATTTTAAGCCAAGACTTTGTGGCAGGCAGAATTCTAAGCTGGTCCCCAAGATTCCCAGCCCCTGGTGGATATGTCCTCCTGCATGATCCCTTTTCTTTGAGTGTGTGTGGGACTTTGAATATGACAGATTTCTCTCCTGTGATTAGAAGGGATTTTGCAGTGTAATAAAGGTCTCCAATCAATTGAGTTAACAGAGATTATTCCTGGCAGCCAGTTCATAGGGCCCGTACTGAAGGAAAAGATCTGAAGCCTGAGAGAAATGGTGCTGCTGGCCTTGCAGGAGTAAGCTGTCATGCTGTGAGGCAGCCCAGGAGGGAAGGCACAGGGCAAAGACCTGAGAGGGGCTGCTGGTGGCGAAGGATGGTTCCTGGCAGACAGCAGGCAAGCAATGAGGACGGCAGTTTGACAGCTGTAAGGAAGTCCGTTCTATGGGCTACCTAAGGGATCTTGGAAGTGGGTCTTTTCCCTGGTTGAGCCTTCAGATGTGAGAATGCAGCCAGCCTTAATTTCAGCCATTTGAGGCCCTGAGCAAGGACCCAGCTAAGATATGCCAAACTCCAGATCCTTGGAAACTGTGAGGTAACAAATTTATGCTATTTTAAACCACTTAGTTTGTGGAAATTTGTTACGCCACAATAGAAAACTAATACAGACTTGGAGGAGGTGTAGGAGTTAGAAGAAGAATAGAGGGAAGAGCATTCCAAACAGGGAACAGCATTTGTGAAAGTCCTGGGGTAGGCTAATAATGATAGCTTACATTTATTCAGTGCCTACTATGTGCCAAGTTTTGTGCTAAGAGCTTCACATGGTCTTTTTGGGGGAGCAGGGACATTGTCACTGCTGGTGAGGACTGAAGCGTAAGGTGTCAGGGGAGGGTCACAAGAACTGAGGTTAGCAAGGGAAGGATTGCACAGAGTCTTGTACACTATGCTAAGAATTTTGGATTAATACTAAATGGATTGGTAAATTACTAAAGGCTTTTAAGCAGAAAAGGGACATGATATGATTTGCACTTTTAAAAGATCATCCTGGCTGCTGTGGGGAGGGCGGGTTAGAGGGGGCAGAGTGGATGCAGAAGGTGAGCTGAGAGAATGTCGCAGCGGTCAAGGTGAGAGATGATAGAGGCCTGGGCCAGATGATGGAGGTGAAGACAGGGAGAAGTTCCAGGTGTATTTTGGGGGTAGAAATGTCAGCCTGTGGGAATGGATTGGATTAAGTCATGATGACGGGGAGGGTGAATGTTCAGGATGTCTCCCAGTTTTCCAGTTTGGGCAACTCAAGTATGAAGGCACATTTGCTGGCTCTTTCTACATTTCTTCATTTTTCACATTAGACCTCTTTCACAATGGACCTCTTTTCTAATCTCTAATCTGTAATCACTCCCCAGGTGATCTTGTCCAATCCTAGGCTGTAGATACTATTTATATGCTGACTCCTACATTAACGCTCCCCTGCCCTCTACTGACTATGTAACACCTCCATTTGGATATCTACTGGGTTCCTCAAATTTACAAGTCCCAATGCTGAGCTCTTGCGATTCATCCTACAAACCTTGCCCACTGTTCACCATCTTGATAAATGGCACCAGTTTTTGCCTGTTCACTCAGTTGCTCAGTTGCTCAGGCCAAGAACTTAAGAGTTATCTTTGGTTCCTCTCTTTCTTCATATTCCACAGCCAATCCATCTGCAAATCCAGTTGTCTCTACCTTTGAAAACGTGTATGCTGGGTGCCTGGGTGGCTCAGTCGTTAAGTGTCTGCCTTCGGCTCAGGTCATGATCCCAGGATCCTGGGATCGAGTCCCACATCGGGCTCCCTGCTCGGCGGGAAGCCTGCTTCTCCCTCCCCCACTCCCCCTGCTTATGTTCCCTCTCTCGCTCTGTCTCTCTCTGTCAAATAATTAAATAAAATCTTTAAAAAAAAAAAAAACGTGTATGCTTAATCCAATCAGTTCTCACCATTTCCGTTGCTGTCCCCCTAGTCCCGGCCACTGCCATCCCTCTGATGTCCTTTTTTTTTTTTTTTAAGATTTTATTTATTTGACAGAGACACAGCGAGAGAGGGAATGCAAGCAGGGAGAGGGGGAGAGGGAGAAGCAGGCTCCCCGCTGAGCAGGGAGCCCGACGCGGGGCTCGATCCCAGAACTCCAGGATCATGACCTGAGCCGAAGGCAGAGGCTTAACGACTGAGCCACCCAGGCGCCCACCTCTGATGTACCCTGCAGTAGCCTGCTGACTGGCTTCTCGCTTCCAGTCTTGCTCCTTGTTTGCCATGCAGAGCTGGGGTTCCTTTAGCAAATCTGATCACATCTCCCTGCTCCCCACTCAAAACCCTCCAACAGCTTCCCATCACACTTAATACCTAATGCAAAATTCTTATCAGCTCCTATGCAATTGCCCCTGGCTCTGTTTGCCCTCATCTACTCCTCTTCTTCCACTGCTGGCTCCACCCCAGCCACTCTGGCCTCCTTACTATTTCTTGAACCTGCCAAACACATTCTTGCCTCAGGGACTTTGTGCCGTCCCCTCTCCCAGGAATATCCTTCACCCAGATACCCTCATGGCCCATTCCTCCCCTTCATTCAGGATTCTGCTCAAATGTCACTTCCTTAGGGCCCTTCTCTGATTACCTGATTTAAAATAGAACCCTCTGTCACTGTCTATTCCCTTAATCTGCATTGTTTTTCTTCCATGAACTTACCATCACATGAATATACTACATTTTGTTTTTTGTCTATTTCTTCTGCCAGATTGTTGGCAACACAAGATGAAGGACTCTGTTTTGTTTCCTCCTATTCCCTAGTGCCTAGCACAGTATCTGGCAAATAGAATATACTCAGTAAATACTCGTGGAATGCACCAGTGAGTGAGCTTCTGGAGCTGGGGCAGCCTGATGGAGGAGCAGATTTACAGAGAAGGGAAGATCAAGCCTAAAACATGTTAGATTTGACATGCTCAAGAGACCCAAACCAGGAAACATATATGTTAAGTAGGCAGTCAAATATCCTGGTGCGTAATTCAGGAGAAACAGACGAGCTGTGTCTGTGCTTTTGTGTAAGCAGGTTGGGATGTGTGTGCCTGTGTCTGCACACATACCCGAGGCTGTGGGTGCCTCGAGGAGTGCACGTATGTGGACACGCATGTGGGGGGGGTCCTGCTTCTCTTGCATCTATGTGCCTATGTTCTTTGTGCACCTGGAGGATGAGGGCATGTGGGCCTCTGCTTATGAGGAAGAGAGAAAATGTCTGTCCCCAACCACTGAAATGCAAGTGTTTCCGAAGACGAAAAGCCCTTTCCACACAGCCCTGGAGACTGGACCCTGGCCACCGTGAGAGGCTGAGCCAACCAGCTGTTTCTGAGCCTTCCCAGAAGGACTTGAGGATTTGCTTCCAACTAGGCAGGCTGCTCTTCTCAGGGCAGGAATTTGGGTCACAAACGATCTTGGCAGATATTCTTTCTTACACATGTTTAGTTTGTTTGGGGGAGGGTGGGAAATGGGTTGGGGAAAGGGACTACAACACAGCCCTCTCACATGTGGCTGTCACACGCACTTCAGAAGGCCCAGGACAGGAAGATGTAGAAATGTCATAGACATTCACATAGAAATGCAGTCGTGGAACCCTCTGGCTTGAGAAGAAGCTTGTGCCTGAGGATTTGGTCCAGACTGGTGGCAGCAGCCGAAAGGTTAGAGTTATCAGCTTTATCTTCTGGCCACATCCAGCCCAAGATGCCCAGCCTCACAGGTTAATGTGAGAAGACTGTCTTGCCTTTGTCCACTGTCCTGACCTCCTCAGAGTCTGCATTGTTTCTGCTGCCCACCTTCTCCTGGAGCTCCTAGGTTCTTCTTTGTTTTAATTTTCTAGCTTGATGAAAAATGTTCATTAAAAATTGTTTATTTAGGGGCGCCTGGGTGGCTCAGTAGTTAAGCGTCTGCCTTCGGCTTGGGTCATGATCTGAGTCTTGGGATTGAGCCCCGCATCAGGCTCCCTGCTCGGCGGGAAGCCTGCTTCTCCCTCTCCCACTCCCCCTGCTTGTGTTCCCTCTCTCTCTGTCTCTCTCTGTCAAATAAATAAATAAAATCTTTAAAAAAAAACTGTTTATTTAAAAATAAAAAAAGGACCTGTAACATAGGGTTCAAGTTTATAGAGTTAATTCCAAGTCCTTTTTTTTTTTTTAAGATTTTATTTATTTGACAGAGAGAGCACAAGCAGAGGGAGACAGAGGGAGAAGCAGGCTCCCTGCCGAGCAAGGAGGCCGATGTGGGACTTGATCCTAGGACCCTGGGATCACGACCCGGGCCGAAGACAGCCACCCAACCAACTGAGCCACCCAGGCGTCCCAATTCCAAGTACTTTTGACATGTCTCTCATCTGTCTGAAACATACACAATTCTGACCCTAAGGCCTGGCCTCCTGGTTTCTGAAAACAATCTCACCTCTTGCTTGTTTTTTTGGCGCTTGTGAGTACCCACTTTTCTTTCCAGCTGTCTGACTCGAACTGACATGGCAAGTAGGAAATTCTTTCCTCTTTCCACTTCTTACAATTCTTTGGGTTGGAAGAACCACAGAAAGAGAAGAATCATAGCACTCAGGGCTCAGAGGGGTCTTAGGGATCATCCTAATCAGTGGTTTGCAAATTTTGTTCTAAAGAGCCCAGAGTTCTGCAGAGGGGTCTCAGAAGTTGCCAAAAATGGTTGGGGGCACAAGGCAGGCCTAGAGGCTTTGCCATTTTTACCCCTCTTTATTTTGATGGGCTTGTACATACAAATTCATTGGAGCGAAGGCTTCTGTGAATCAAAAACCTGAAAACCACTTTTATAGTCCAGTCTTTCCTTGGGTGGCTAACCACTCCCTCTCCCTTAATCTGCTCAATGTTCCCTGGTCTGGGCTGCCCGTCTCACCCTCAGGTAGACAGAGTGGCTGGGCGAGGAACCAGAACTGAAGACTCTTCCTTTCTGCTTGTGTGGAGTTTGCATTTTCTGCCACCCCTCACCCCCTGACTGCTTCTCTTGTCCCAGTTTCAATTTCATCCTTAGTGTTTCTTTTCTCTTTGGGACTGAAAGTATTTATTGAGTCAACAAATATCCTCGAACACTCAATATCCACATTTTGTTAAAATTTGGTTTTTTTTTTAGATTTTTTATTTTTTGACAGAGAGAGAGAGACAGCGAGAGAGGGAACACAAGCAGGGGGAGTGGGAGAGGGAGAAGCAGGCTTCCCTGCTGAGCAAGGAGCCTGATGCGGGGCTCGATCCCAGGACCCTGGGATCATGACCTGAGCCGAAGGCAGACGCTAAACGGCTGAGCCACCCAGGCGCCCCTTGTTAAAATTTTTTAAGTACGCCTTCTTGTTTCAGGGAGAATGCTAAACTCATTTTTATCATTTTTATAGCCAGGGCAGGTATATTAGATAGGACAGGCATGGTAATAAATGAATAAAGGAATTATGGTCTTTATTTTTCTTAGTCATTATTCTTCTTTACTACCTGACTCTGAGGCCTGGGGTAGAGGGAGAGCAGAAACTCAAGAAGTCTTTCTCCAATAGGGAGGCACAGGTAATAATACTTACAATAACCATCAATGCACAGGTAATAATACTTACATAACAATAATAAATGGCTGGCACTGTTTTTAGCATTTTACATATATTAACTCATTTATCTTTATAACAACCCTACACTGAAGGTTCTATTAGTATGTACACTCTGTAGATGAGGAAACAGAGGCTCAAACAGGTTAAGTACCTTGCTCAATATATACAACTACAGTGGCTAGCAACTAGGAGCTCCCCATTGGGTTCCCAGCCTACATTAAGGCCCTTCAAATCTAAGCACAATCCACATTTGCAGTCTGATCTCCTTCTTTTTGTGATTCTACCTTTTACTGCTCTCACAACAAACTCTCCTCATAAACATGGATGGACATCCCACGACCCTATCTCTGCCTCCTGAAACCTGACCCATCCTTCAGGGCACTTCTCAAAAGCTACCTTTCTTACCAAGTTTTCCCCCTGACCCTCACCAAGCTGGGATGACTCTCTTCCATCTCTGTGTTTCCCAGGCATCATTATGCCATGTATCACACTTCTACCCACCCACCCCCTCCCGGGACGTGTGCCTACCTGGCTTCTGCTCAAGCCATAAGCTACCTGAGGGCAAGACCTTGTCTCTGGGAATCCTTTGTATGGGACAGGTGTACAACGAATGTTGGTGAAACTGGGAGAATGAGTTGAGTGTCATTGGGAATCACCAGGGCAAGTAAGTGCATGTATTAGAAAGTAATCCCCACCCCACCCCACCCCCCAAGTCCTTGGCTTTCCTGGGGACTTGTGTTGGGAACAAGAAGTCAGCCTTTGACAACTGTCTGGGACTCTGCAAGGTGTCACCTGGCCAGTGTGGAGCCACCTTCTCCAAGGGTCTTGTGGTCCTCTCCACTCCAGAATCCCTCCTCCCCTTACCCTAGGCTATGGCATCCCCCCCTCCACTGAAGATCTCAGGACACCCAACCTCAGCAAAGCTGAGGATCCAGGGGCACGGGAGTGAGATGTATGAGGAAACTGGAGCGCCCATCCCCTTCAGTCTGGTGTTCTGCCTGATTATGCCTCCAATATGACTCCCGGAGAAGGCAGAGGGGGAGATGGAGACTAAGGAGGACGGGGAAGAGGGTTACCAGGGAGGACAGGGAAAGGAAGGCAAAAAGACGTGTGTGATGGGAGGTGGCAGGAGGTGGCGGTGGCTCGACCTCAGGCCGCTCTGGACTCTTCGCCAGGGCCGGTAAAGGACCTGAGTCTGGGCAGCGGAGGACAACTTCTGCCAGCAGCCCGCGGGTCCTGTCCGCCTCCCGCGCGCTGCGGTGCCCAGCCCGGCGCCAGCCCTCCCAGGGGAG